GGTAAAAAAAAGGTATTTTAAAATTATAAATATTATAAATATATCTTATTAATAAAGACTTATTAGTAAATATACTATAGCTAAAAAGGCATTATAGCTGCTTAAATACTTAAGGTTATAAAGGTTAAGTAATAGTAGTAATATCCTTATTACTTTTTAGCAGCTGTTTTTTTAAATATATTATAAGCTTATTAAGGAGTATTATAAAGGGCAGTTAGTTTATAAGCAGTAAGGAAAGTTTCTTAATATTACTATTACTTTATTAAAAAAGGACTTATTATAGGCTAGTAGTAAGAGGATTATATAAGTATATTATTAGTTTTCCTTATACTTATAATTAATTAACCTTAGTAAAATAGGTTTAGTATTTTTAAGTTAATAAAAGTTTTTTTAAGCAGTTATTAATTTATTAAAGTTGCTTTTAAATCTTCTTTTTTTTCTTAAATTTTAAACTATATTTACTATATATAGTAGTTAACTTTTATCTTAAAGCTTTTATATTTTCCTATTTCTTAAATATATTCTATTTATGCTTAGTAATATAAAGAGGGGCATAAAGGTCTTATTATAAGAATGCTTAAAATATAATACTTTATAAAGCGTTATTTTATTATTTAAGTTTACTAAAAGTAATTTATAATAGCTTATTTTATATTTAGACTAGCTAGTAGGATCTTTTAAAGACCTTTATTATATATAAAAGTATATAGTTTTAAATAGCTAAAGTTAAGCTTTTTATTATAAAAAAAAGAGTATTAATAATAAAAAGAATAAATAAATTACTATTAAAATTAACTTACTATTAAGCTAGCCTTTAGCACTAACTTTTAATATATATAGTTATTTTCTTTTATAAGACCTTATAATAAACTATATATAGTTTTAAATATTTAGAAACTTATTATAAGATATTAAAATAATTACTTTTTTCTTTTTAAGAACTTTATTACTTTATTTAAGCTAGATGTAATTTATATTACTTTTAAAAGGTTTAAGCTATAGGACCTGTTTATATAAATAATATTAAGCTTTAAAAGCATTATTAATAATAGCCTAAGCTATAAAAAGAGTAATAAGATAAAGCAGTTTATATAAAATAAGTGTTATAAGAAAGTGCAGTTTATATAAGTAGGAAGATATTAGCTTAACTAACACTTAGTTAAAGGAGGGCATTATAAGTAATATTACTTAAAGCGCTAATCTCTTTAAATATAATCCTTCTTTTACTTAATATAGTAAATAGTAATAAATACTACTAGCTAGGTTTTAATTAAAATATTTAAATCTTTAACCTAAGTAAGCTTAATATTATTATAAAAAATATTAATAAAACTACTTAGCCTTTAGCTATTAATACTGCCTAAAAGCATAATATAATAAAATATAAGGTATATATATAGCCTATAAGATATATATTTAGCGCTTATTTAAACTATATTAAAATAAAAAATTATATTTTCTACTATTATCTTAAATTTCTTAAAACTCTGCTTAAAAGAAAGACTAAGTTTATAAGCTAGATATAGAATTTACTAAGCTTATTATAACCTATTAGTGCTTTATTAATTATTTTAAGTAATTAAAAGGGAGTATAAGATAAATACTTACTTAAGTAATTTTATATATTAAACTGTAATTATAATTAATATTTTAAAATAAAAGAAGGAGATACTAGACTAATACTTTAGCTAAATCCTTACTTTACTTTACTTTTAATACCTTATTATTAGCTTTATTAATAAGGAGAGTTTATATATTTTTAACTACTAAGGCGCTTTAAATAGTTTATACTTTTATATACTTTTTTAAACCTAGGTATAGATATTTTATAACTAAGCCTTTAATATATATCTTAAAGAATATTTAAAAGATTAATTAAACTTACTTTATATTAATATAAAGATTAATTTAAAGGCTATTAAGGTCTAGATCTAGATTTAAAATAAAGCTAGATAATCTTAGTAGTTAGCACCTGCTTAAAAGCAGCTAGAACTTAAGTAAAAGGGAGTAGTATTATACTATTCTTAATTCTTTTAGATTTTATTATAATACTTTTATATATATAGGTTTATATATAAAGCTTTATTAAGTAGGCTTGCCTAGTATTATATAAAAAAAGCTAAAGCAGCTTCTTTATTAAAAGCCTATTAATAAGGTTATTTAAAAGGATAAGGTCTTATAAAAGGACTAGAATAGTAGTTTAAAAAAGCTAGATTAGTAATAGTAGCTATAATAATAATTAAAATAAGAACTTATAATAGTAAATATAAAAGTAAATTAAAAAAAGAAAGTAAATTATAATAAATAATATGCAGAAGGTTAATATAGCCTATAGTAAATAAGGATATATAAAGTGTAAATTATTAAAAAGTGCTAAAATTAAATAGGATATATATACTTATTTATTTAAAGATTAAAGAAAAGGCTAGTAGTTATATAAAGGGGGGGGTGTATTAGTAGCTAAAAAAAGGGAAGTAAAGCCTTATAAGAAATAAAGTTAGCCTTAAAAAGCATTTGCTTTATTTCTTATTAAGTAATAGAGGGCTAAATTAGCAGAACCTTAAGAAGGTTTAATAACTAGAGGGGGTTCCCTATCTGCTCTCTTAAAGTTAAGCTAATAAGAGGCAGATTAGTAATTAGGTAGGTGACCACTAGTAAACACTGGCTATTATATGTCTTTTACCTTCTTTTTTACTCTTTTAATATGTTATAATGCAATCTTAATAAAGCATCTCACTCTTGTATGCATGTGGTCTCCAGTAAGGTTGCAATAACCTATGGGTAATCATGGGCTAGCCCAAAAATTTAGCCTATGGGTAGGTTTTGGGCGGCTTGGCAGCCCACGGATTACCCGAGCCTAAATCGACCCAAATTAGGCGGCTTTGCAATAAGGTGCGATAACCACCAGCCTAAATACCCTACATTCTGCCCAAAATCTATATTAATTATAAAAAAAGCTAAATAAAATATATAAAAAAAGAAAAAAAATAGTTTTATATATATTAAAGTATAATAATTTAAATTATAATTTTTTTCTATTTTTTTTTATTTTATATAATAATAAAAGTTATTATTTAGTAGATTTTAATAATAGGTCTAAAGGTATCTCTTGGCATTTGGGCGGCTCCTGCCCACGCTTTTGGGCATGATAAGATAAGAATGGGCATTTCTTGGCAGACCCACTTATTTTTGGGCTTACCCAGTGGGCTGGATAGGCCCATTGGGCTGCCCATGGGACCCACGGGCTGGGTAATTGCAGCCTTAGTCTCCAGGGGTGAGGTCCTGACGTGGTGGTTGGCGTGAAGAGTGCCGAGTGAGAAATCACGATTTGAAGACTACTACATTTCCTCTTACCCCTGATTGTAGCTGTATTGAAAAGGCTACCCATATCTCGTCTTGTAGAAGGTCACATGTTTTAGGATAAGCTGATGCTGGACTTGACACATATCAAAGGTCCGTAAGATCAAACCCTATGCTACAAGTTGCACCAGAAGAGCAATTGGGCATTATAATCATGCCACTTCGAGTATACTCAGCATGATCCAACTATATCACTAAAAGAGGTGACGATATGAACTTTCTTAGAGAGGACTGTCTAGAATAAGGGTGGCCATTACTCAGGGGTCACAGTAGCTTCTCGGTCTTTCTCGGCAAACTACTGCTTAGACGTTGAATGATCCTTGAAACGATCAATTACATCTAGGAGCACTCAAATCAACCCACAGCACTTGAAAAGTCCCCCCCCCCCCCCAACCCATCGCGTTCCATATCCTCTCCAGTCTATCTCCAGAAGGAGCACACCATATTACCCAGCTGTCCGTCTCCCGCAAAGCACTTCCAACGTCATCCTCCAAAGTGTTTCCCCAAAATCCGTCCCCAGAACAATCTCAAGGCCCAGAAGACATCCGTCTCATCCTACCAAGAATATGCATCTTTGCCGCAGGTAGAGATTCTAATGCCTGATATTGCAGTAGTGGCATCGATCCTCGGTCCGCACCTCCACGACCCGCTGACAGCCGCATTCACAATTGCAAACGTGCATCTCGCACAATAAGAAGCCAAAGAGATAAATGAAAGGAATGTCAAGATAAACACTGGTAATGAACTTCAAAAGCCGTCTTAGCTTCTCGATAGCTGTATTTGATTGGCCTTTGTCTGCGTGGCGATTATTTTGGCTTGAGGAGTCGTTCCCTGAAGGGGTACATATAAGGCTGCGATATCAGTGAGTCAAACCACATTCATTTGGTTGAGCATACAATCAGTGTCACAGGGTTTGACAAAACTGCCTTGAATCAATGTCAACTTGGATAGGCCTCATTGTACGGGTGACCAGAATTTCTCATCATCAGAGCCTCCTGCAGAACCCCAATGCTTATAGGATAGACTCGTGTACAAGATATAATTTCACAGCAGCAGTGTTGTCATTTTGCTATGCTCTACAGAACTGACGTGGCATGTGTTGTTTTGAACGTGATACTATTAAACTTATTTGTACCTATAAACGATTTGCTCGCTTGTTTATTCTGGTAGATTGTCTGTATGAAATCGACATGACTCGTCGTGGCAGCTATTGTCTATCTCCAGAATCTTTCGGAAATCCGCAAAGCACTCCCAGCAGAATTGATACTCGCACCGAGAGCCTAATGATTTGTTTGGGTTCGCATTAGTGATTGCCTATCTGGTAACGTAGGATATGAGAGGCCCGGGAAGTTCAGTGGCAGCATGAATGCCACTGCTTGAGACAGACCCAGCAGAATTGGTACTGGCAACGACTGCCTGATCAAAGAGTCAACGATGGAGATAGTCAATGTCAGCAGTAATACGCTTGACAGCTCGATATCGTTGTATCACGAACATAGGGCTGAAAGAAACCCGCCCAGGGCGTGCGGAAGCAAAAAGGGGAACGTAGGAAGACAGAGAAAGGTATCGGAGCCTTACACGTCATATGTGAACTGATCATGAGTTATTAATTGAAAGTCATGTTCGGCAAGGAAAGGATCTCACCATCCTCCATTCTTCTCAATCTGTGACTTGCAGCTGGGACAAGCCTTTGTCGTCGACCTGATGGTCTCTTCACTCGCGTCATTGTCCCTCTTATGACGACGCGCTTCAGCAAGCTCAACGGCCCGGTTACCTTGTGGTAAAGATGCCGCAGAGTCGGATCGTGTTAGATCGAACTCTTCGCACGTCACGCCCGCGTGCCAAGGGACCTTATGCTGGAAACATGTCAAGTGCCCACACGAGGTGCACTTGACTATGGGCTCTGACTCTCCACTATCGTGCAGTTGACCCGAGCCGCAGCCAGATGAACACTGTAGATATGATAGGCAGATGAGCACACTTGAGATTGTTCACACGCAGGCCAGCACGGCTTACCCAGATGAAGTCGGGATCCTGTTGTAGAGTATGCAGAATCATCAACTTATCATACTTTTCTCTCGTCTCCAGATCGGCATACTTCTGGACGTCGTGGTATCCGAGCGTGGCGCCGCAATCAGGACACCCAACCTTTTCCCACGGTTTGCTGGAAAGCTCGGTCTCGATGGCGCGTGTTATACACGGCCGGCACGTTGTCGGTGCATGGGTACATTCTTGAGTAATAGGTGACGCAGGGAACTGCTCCGTGGACTTGACTTCGGCGCAAACGCTGCACTCTTGTGCCATCTTGATGCCCACGAGACTGTCTGTATTCAAGCAGCGGCAAGTAGTAAAAGTAAGTGAGCGCAACTGCGCAGCGTCCAGGATGCGGGTCTGGATTCAACTCCACGGCGCAATACCTGGACAAATACTAGGTATGCGTCTTATCTTGTAGACAGACTTGAAGTACCCCTGGGTTCAATTATCAACCGAGCTTTCACAGACGATCTTGCGACTTGACATCAACAAGCCGTCAGGCGTCTGAAGATAGTCGTTGCCGCTTCCCTGGCTGATAGTGGAGAGATGAAAATATAGGAGGATGCCTGCACCCGGCTGGGTATCCAGCGGACTGACCGCAGCTACCTACCTATCTATATACACAGGCAGGAGGTGACTGATACACTTGCGGGCGGAGGACTGCATACTACCTCGCAGCGTAGATGCACAATACCGATCCATGTGACTCATGACCGAAGGTTCTAGTCTATCCAACAGAGGTCTGCTCTCAGTAGTCTGCCTATAATGAGGTCCTACATCTAGCAAGTACTGAGCAAAGAGTTGGTTGCATTGGCTGGCTGATGTTGTAGAGGTGCGGCTACGTCAATTGCAAAGAGGCAGATTGAGACTCTCGTGCTGTGTGACGCGGGAGGCTGACTGACTTATGCAACGCGGGGGGCCGATTGAGCCTTGTGGCGTGGGAGGCCGACTGACTTACTGCAACCTCTCAAAGTGTTGTTCTGCATGGGTATCCGTTGTGTGGGAAGCCACCCAGCCACTCAGGGATGGAGTAGATCCCACTACCCTTCTGCACAAGCAAAAGAAAATCCGCGAGATTCTCCTCTTGACAAATTGTGGCGTTGGTTCTCTTCACGTTCAGCAGGTTGGTCCGCAAGCGGCAAGCCAATGATAGCTACGAAAGAGGCAAGGGGGTTGGGTCTGCATCGGGCACCAGCAAATTATATAAGTAAACGCAGCCCAAATCTCGCTTCTCACAATCCTGCCACAAGGAAAGTTTCAGGAAAGGCTCCCATTATCATACAGCAGAAACTCAGCATAGAATGACAGCTGGAACAATGACGGCTGTGCGAGGTATACAAGAAATAGATAACCCAGAACGCCTTCGATACTTCCGGGCGATCGATCAACTTCGCAGTCTCGGTGTCAACGAAGAACTACCTCTTCCGCAGGCAAGAATTCGCCTCGAACATCACGTTCCAAGTCCTCTAACAAAGAGTCCTAGATTATTGTGGTTGGAGACCAGTCCAGCGGGAAGTCATCACTCCTTGAAGGTCTCACTGGTCTCTCGTTCCCAATTGCCTCCGACCTATGCACACGTTTTGCAACACAGATTGTCCTGCATCGAACGCCTGGAGAAAAGCCCGCTGTCAAAGCCTCCATTGTCCCGGGCCCCTCCAGTGTGGACGATGAGGACCAAAAGGAACGGCTGTCGAAGTTTGATATACAGATGGCCGCTGATGAGCTGAGTGGAACCAAGTTCGCCTGGGTTCTGGACGAGGTATATGCCACTCCAAGCACCTGAAGATTCGTTATTAATGCTGTTAGGCCGCGAAATGCATGGGGTTGCCGGGCTCGGACGACCAAAACGTTCAAAACCTGGAGAAGCGTTTCTCGGACGACATTCTGCGTATTGAAATCTCCGGGCCGGATGAACATCATCTGAGCGTGGTCGATGTGCCTGGTCTTTTTCATAGTAAGTTTGCTCCTTTGCATAGGCTCTTCAGTCATATTGACTTCTTAGATCCTACCAAGTTCCAGACTCGAGAAGACTTGACGATTATTCGAGGACTCATCGAGAACTACACGAGAGATGAAAGGACTATCATTCTGTAAGATATTCAAAGACGGGCCTAGAGTCTTTCTAACTACTTTTCAGGGCGGTAATGGACGCACGAAACAATCTGGCGAACCAAGAGGTCTTCAAGATGGCCCGCGCAGCCGATCCCGATGGTATTCGTACAGTCGGCATCATCACCAAGTGCGACGCGCTGCAGTCTGGAGATGAACAGGGGGTAAGTGACGGTGAAAGGCGTCTTTGAGAACACAAACTGACATGAACAGGTTCTCAATATTGCTAAGAATACTGTCGAGCGTCTTCAGCATGGCTGGTTTGTGGTGAGAAACAGGTCGACCAAAGAGATACTGGATGGAGTGTCTATCTCTGAACGTCACGAGAACGAGAGGCGGTTCTTCCAGCAAGCTCCTTGGAAGGAGCTGCCAAAAGACCGAGTCGGTGTGAAGGCATTGAAGCCTTTCCTCGGCCAATTGCTGTACGAGCACATTCGCCGTGAGTTCCCTGCTCTTGTCAAGGAGATCGAAGACCTTGTTCGAGAAACGGAGCGAAAAGTGGAAGAACTCGGACCTCCTCGCCAAACCGCAGCAGAACAGCGTCAATACCTGACGCGTCTTGCGAATCGGTACCAACGCAATGTGGAGGATGCCCTCAAGGGGAACTATGCCGCAGATCTCGATGCGAAGAGCCCACTGAAGCTACGAATGCATCTTCGCGATCTGGCAGACCAGTTTGAGAAAGACCTCCGGTTGAAAGGACATACGTCCCCCTTCCAGCAACCCGATGGATCAGTCGATGAAGACTACCTCGACGAGGAGGACGAGTCAGAAGCCCCCGACATCAGGCAATGGATCCAAGAAAGGTACAGAGATTCTCGTGGCGCGGAACTGCCCGGCATGGTCAATCCGGCACTGCTGGTTAATCTGTTCCGAGAGCAAACGGTTCAATGGGAACGGATAGCTTGCGGCTATCTTGACCAAGTGATTAAGCTCCTTACCAAGTATGCTCAACTGGAGTCTCGCCGAACGGAGGAAGATGAAAAGACCCGCACCTATCTAGACTCCCTTATACTGTCCGGGATCGAAACTACCAATGCCTTGGCCAAAAACCGGCTCATGGAGCTGTTACAAGACGAGCGAGGCGGGATTTTACAGACTGTCAATCACTATTTCGCGGAAACGCTTGCAAAAATCCGTCAAGATCGCGTTATTGCTCGTCTGAAAGCCCTTGGCTTTGGAGACGGCCAATACCAATCTATTAATTTCGGAGAGCTTACTGGTGCTGTGCACCTAAGTAACGAGGACCAAGCCGTCAACGACATTCACGATGCCCTAAAAGCCTACTACCAGGTAGCCATCAAAAGGTTCGGGGACTACATGGTGATCCAGGTAGTTGAGAGATTGATGGGTGATCAAGGACCGCTCAAAGTATTCTCATCGGAACGCGTGGGAGGTTTCTCTGATCAACAGCTGGCCGCGATGGCTGCTGAGAGCTACACAACTTCAACGGCAAGGGTAGAGCTCGAGCACCGGCGCCAGAGGTACCGTGAGGCCCTTAGTGTGGCCAAAAGCGTGTGAGTGAGTATGGTTTGAGCCATCTCCGGGTCGGGCTTGTTCCTGTGTGGTTGTCAAGGTCTTCCGATGTGAATGAGGGAGATGTCTATGGGTCGTGTTTTTCGCGCTTTCAGTATAGCTTCAGTGTGATATATTCAGTAGGATCATCTATTCCCAGCTGTCTAGCATCACCACATCATCATTCTTGTGAGGTTATATCACCTTGATAGTCTTGATCTTAGGTAGCACGAGATATATCCTACACCAACAGGGTATATGCTCCATTTCAAGACTCGAGTTGTTCATTTAATGTTAATGTAGCGTACTAGTAGAATCAGATCGATCAGATATATGGCTTTACTGCGCCAGTTTACATGACGCAGCAAGAACAGTACGTCGTGTTGTGCAACAATACACCTCCCGGCGCATCACACAGAGCTGTTTCATCTCTGCTAAACACTAACTCATAGATCCAGCGAGGAAAAGAAAAATCTCGGCATACCTGATTGCTTTTCCCCCTTCATTACGTCCGCACAATATTCTCACTCCCCAAAACAGCATACCAAAAGACATTCTTCTGCGCCTTGGCCTCAACATCCCGCTTCTGCTCCTCCGAAAGCTGCGGCCCCTGCAAGTCGTTGAGGAAGCGCCCGACAAAGCTGCCCACAAACGGCTTCGCATACAGGTCGTACACCATCTGCGACTCCACGCTCCTCTGCCCCGGCGGCTCCGTCGTCGCAAAGTACCGCAGCGCGAGCGCCATCGGGAACAGGCCCGAGGCGCCCTGCATGGCGCCGGCGGCAGGCCCGTACAGGAGAGGCACCGCATGGGCGATTTTGCGCGCAAAGATGCCCGGGTTGAGCATTCTGATCTGAGGAACCTCGCTGTAGGATGATCTCGTTGACCAGGTGGCGGCGTCTTCGGGTGAGGTGGCTGGTGTTGAGGCGGTAGCAGACGACGCTGGGGAGTTGCCGAAAGACGGGACGCTGTCGCTGCCGGGGCTCATGGCTTCGGCCGCATATTTCATGGCCATGCCCAGCGTGCTGTACAGCATCAGTCGAGCACCCCAGTACACGCTGGAGAGATAGACGAGAGAGATCTCCGTGTCGTCCTGGGGGGTAGGCACGGGAGTGCCGGCAACGGTATAGTCGAAGCGGTCGAGATCCGCGCCAATCTCCCTTTCCCAGGCGTCCAGACTGTTGGAGATGTGCTGGCAGTTGAGCATGAGGATCTGATAGAGCTCGCTCATGCGATCCGGATCCTGGCAGGCGCAGAGGTTGTCGTAGCTGACCAGCATGTAGGGAATGTCCTCCATGACATCCATCAGCTTGTCTTTGATCGACTTGGGCACGATGCGCCATGGGACAGTGCGCCACTCGGGCGTGTTGAGCGGTGATTTGGTTCGTCTACCTATCGACAACATGACCTATTGTGGAGAGTCGTCAGATCTATCCAAGGAGAGGCAAGGCGGAGAGATAGGGGGTGTGGAGGCCATACCACAAGAACCCGTCCATCGACATACAGCTGGTGCGCTTGTCCAGACGTAAAGGACGCCGGCCCTCTGGCCATGAAGAGAGCTAGCTGGCCTTCGATGTGAGCGCGCCAGTCGGGTGCCCTTCCGAAAAACAGCTGCCAGCCTGTGTGTTAGCCAGCCTGCCTGATGCCATCATCCTCACCTGAAAGTGTGGTGAGACAAAAAGCCATGCTTCATGCTTCATACCTCGTAGGATTGCAATATCCTGGCCGCCACGAGGACGCCGTCATTCTTTGACCTCCTTTCGTCCTTAAGCCCTTTGACCATTTCATGAATCGCCCTGTTATATGCCTGGAGGCCCTGCAGCGTCAGTTGGCTGTGCTGGGCGACCTGATTCTTCTTGTCCTCCACGCTCATGAAGCCTGCGCTCATTGCCAGCGCCGCATATCGAATCGCCGGCTCTCGGTTGTAGTATTCGTCGACGGCCGCCACCCACCCGTTGGTCGAGATGGCCGAAGCCTTGGGCGACAGCAAATGCCCGTACGGAAGGGACATGGAGATGAGCAAGCCGAAGAAGAGCTCTTCTCTGGCTGATCGAGCGAGCGAGTCATGCAGGGCAACTCTCGTGTCGTTGCTGTGGTGCTTCTTGGTGGTGTAGATGACGCTCCATGGCCTCTGCTGCGCCGCTGAGCCTTTCCCCTGGGGCGGCGGTGGTACGGCTTTGCCATTTTCTCCGTTTGGCGTGTTGTTGACCCAGACGAGTTCTCGTCCATAACCCTCGCACTTCAAGCCGGACCGTGTGCACTGTTGGCATGCCGGCTCGGTTTTATCGCACTGTTGGAGAGGACACAGTCAGCAACGCGGATCTCGCTGAGCGACGATATGGAAAGGGTGGTATAGATTGTGTGCGGACACCTCCGTAAGATGGATGTAAGATGGGCTCGAGTCAGGGTAGTTGCGGGCGTTGATGGGGACGGGACGGGACGGATCAGCATGGGGACTTACACCCTTCTTTCGCCGTCGACAAGTGACGCAGCCCTTGGATCTTCCAGGGACTCCCACCATTTTGGGTAACTGTCCGGTCCCTTGTAAGAGACCACTAGGTATCTGTCGTAAAGATGGTTAAATCCTGGAGTGGGAACCAAGTCCCAAGCCCGTAAGGCTGTGTCTGTTTGGTCCCGTCTATTGCCTGCTGATCGAGTACGCGGCAGCTAGGGGTTGCAGGTAATGGTGTTGCTTTGCTGGTGGTGATCCAGATGGAATATCTAAGTGAGCAGCAGCCTCCTGATCGATGCTCCGGAGACAGTAGATGAAGTGCGCTCTGAAAATGCGGGATCAAGCCTCCCAGTATGGAGTCTTCCCCTCTGAGGTAGGTAGATATGAGAGCGCTTAGCAGGCCGTTCGTCTTCACCTCTTCGGCGGTCCGCGTGCAAGCTCGATGATATATGATAGGTGGAATAGCAGGCGAGTGGTAGCGACAGCCAGAAGGTAAAAAGCAAAGTTCCAGCCCCTGCCGTCGGAATATGACTCCCTATGGATGATGCTCTTTATCAGGACACCGTGGAGTCCGGTTCGCAGCCGGTCGTCCCCCCCGGTTGAGTCAGCCCCTCATCAAAGTCCGCCTCTCGCGATCGCCAGCAATCACCACCGATCGAAAAGATCTCGGATACCCTCGGATCTTGGCCGTGCCGGTACCTGCTTGGCTTTGCCGTCCGCAGTCAAAGATGATTTCAGATGTTTGGTTGTGCAGCTCGACTCTGTCACGGACGCCGTAGGATTCGCTGATGAGAGACGAGGACAAAGCCGGCCCCAGACATGTGCTCTCCCGAACCCCAGATATTATAAGAACCACACGAGGAAACAGAACAAGGTCGAGCTCGTGTGGGACCAAGCTTCAGACCGGGTCATGGCTAGCCCATAAGCATTAGAGAACGCCAAATGGCTGCGCAAATGTGTCAGTCGCCAGGCTTTTGGGGGGTCCGGTCGCCAATCACCGTTCGCCTGCGCCTCTGGTATCGTCCGTCTCCGAAGCCATGCCGCCGAGACAGGTGGGCAGCAGGGGTCCTGGAGGCACGAAGTCCCGGCACTGTCGATTCAAGGCCCCCAAGCCGCCAGGAATACTACCGTCGATGCATCACTAGCCGACTCCGTCTCGTCTCCGCAAGCCACGCCACGAGTCTGGCTTCTTGGAGCCCGCGGGAGTCTGTGCAAGCTGTGTGTGTAATACAGCTACGCTGCTAGTACATAGTAGTATACGGACATTGATGCTGCAAAAGCCCCAAAATGCCGGCTTTCGGCTGGCGAACCAGGCCGCGAGACTGTCACGGTTCGCTTGAGAACCGGTTTGTTGCCCATCCATCCATCTGCCCAATACGAGGACTTGGCACAACAGAGCAGACCATGTATTAGGTATTATGGATTCATGTTGCCCCGAGGCCAACAGGCAACTCGTTCTCGAGAGGGGTCGACGGAAGGATCTGGCCCAGAATCCAGGCAGCGGATTTAGATGGCGCCACACGCAAATCTGGGTTATCCCCATCCGCCCCCCCAGCAAAGCCCCGAGATGGCCAGGATGGCAGCGGTAGGAGTCCATAAAGGTAGTCAGGTAGTCTAGGAAACCCACGTCAACGGCGGCTTGGGGGCTTTGGCTTCAGGCTGTTTGGGACCATTTGCTGACACGCCACATGCGATCCTTGAGTGCCGATTTGTCCCTTGTAGATGGCCTCAAGTCCCAGTTTGCGAGCGATCCGGCTGAGCTCCTAGGAGCAGCAAGTACCTACATTCCACGGAGCCGCAGCAGCTCACTGATCACAAAGAGGTCCTGTGTGTCTTGGTACCTACCTTAGCACTTCAGGTAGTGCCGCTTTAACGTACGATTTTGCGATCGTCGGCTTCTGGTCTTGACTCAGGCGCCAGAACACACGGTTGACAAGCCATTCTGTGCTACTAGTATGTAGTAGTAGTAGGTATTTTACCGACGGGGGGGATTTGGACAGACAACCCGCGACCTGCAGGCAGACCAAACAAGCTGCACGCCTTTCCAATCTCGATGATTCCGTGCAGCAGCCCACCGGTTTAGTCTCTGGAGATTGGAATGGAGGATATCGGGGGAAAAAGAGGCATCGAGACCGAGTCAGTGGCGCAGTAAGCGCTCCACACCCGCGGACAGCGTTGTAGCCGGTGGGTGGTAGTAGTAGAGGGAGCAGTAACAGTAGCAGTGGCCGTAGGTAGCTGTAGCAGTAGCAGTAGCACTGCGTTCTGTAGCACACAATATTAACAGTGATAAGCCATGCAGGTCGGCGATGGTAGTGAGAAAGACTCTGATGATGGCACTGAAGGGGATCATGGGAGAATGAGGGCATCCTCTTGCGTCCAACCGTCTGCGCTCAACGACCTCACCGGCCTCCATATCTTCAGGTCAGACGCCGCCTTATCCACTTCAGCTGTCGATATCGAGCAGGGCAAGGTCAGCAGCAGTGGGAATGTCCCACTCTCGGGAAGCGAGCCGCGGCTGTGGTCACTGGAAGAGGATGGCGATGATCTTGTCAAGGTGGGAAAACGCTTGTCGCCTCGGCAAAACGCAAGATGGACTCCGCAGACCCGGGCGAGATAAGCAAATAGGAAGGCAGACAGCTCTTGCATGTGCCGGCTTGGGGGGGGGTTTCGTCACCGATATCACAATGTTGGCACTCTGGAGAATTACAACGATCGATATTGCAGTCGGTTTGATTATGAGGGCACCTTACCTTATATCCCTCTGCTTCTCTCATTTCTCTACCTCCATAGGGTAAGGTACCTTATGGCACAGAACATGGACTTCACCCCGGAGAATCCCAACTGGAGACGCAACAGAAAGACTTCCGATCGCCTGCATCACAGTACCGGCTACCTGTTTCCCGGCGCCGCCTCCATGCGACCAGAGGTAGCGGTTCGACCAAAGGGGACGAGCCAAGGTACCTCCTGAGTCGTTCTAGAAGCTGTTTGTCCCATTCACTTTCCCCATCTAATGTTTGCTCGTCCGTCAAATGGGATCCTGTTCCGACAAATCTCCGGATAAACCTATTTTCCGATCCTAGGGAAAGCTCGAAATTTGAGGCGCATTTTGGCCACTGCCAGGCTTCATCAGGCTGGATTCCTTCACTTGCGCCACTCTGCCTTCAGAATCCCATCACACAAACCGCCAAAATGTCGTGGAGAAGTCAAGGCATCACCGGCTCCAACAACATCCCGCTCGGCAAGTCGCGCCGCTTCGGAAGCGAGAACGGCGACGATGGCGTCGCCGCTGGCTCTGAAGAGCGCGAGCTCAAACGAGGCCGCGATCCTGAACCTCGAAGCGAAACCGACGGGCCTCGCCGTCGCAAGAAGCGCAACCGCTGGGGCGACGCGTCGGAGAACAAGGCGGCTGGCCTCATGGGCCTTCCGACCGCCATTCTCTCGTCCATGACCAGCGAGCAGCTCGAGGCCTACACGCTGCATCTCCGTATCGAGGAGATTAGCCAGAAGCTGCGCATCGACGACGTGGTGCCCGCCGATGGTGATCGGTATGTCGTCCAATCTCTTTCTCCCCTCCATAACTCTCTCATCTTCAAATGGGCAGTCTCTGACCTTGTTTCCTATCATACAGATCCCCCTCGCCGCCTCCCCAGTACGACAACCATGGTCGACGTATCAACACACGAGAATACCGCTATCGCAAGCGCCTCGAAGATGAACGCCACAAGCTGGTCGAAAAGGCCATGAAGACCATTCCTAACTACCATCCGCCACAGGATTACCGCAGGCCCACAAAGACCCAGGAGAAGGTCTACGTGCCTGTCAACGACTATCCGGAGATTAACTTCAGTATGATTGCTAACCCTTCAACCCTAACCACTAACTCCCCCTTTCTTTCTTTCATCTTGGAGTATGGCCGGACCCTCTTCATCACGCCGATATGCGGTGTCTTGAGGGGCTCTGGCTTCTTCCGTCGATTGATTGTGCCTGTCTAATCCTAAAGCCTCCGATTTTTGCTCCCTGAAAAGTTCGTTATACTAACACATAGCTCTCCCCCAAAGTTGGCTTACTTATCGGACCCCGTGGTAACACACTGAAGAAGATGGAGAATGACTCTGGAGCCAAGATTGCCATTCGTGGCAAGGGCTCCGTGAAAGAGGGCAAGGGTCGTTCTGATGCAGCTCACTCCAGCAACCAGGAGGAAGACCTTCACTGTTTGATCATGGCAGATACCGAAGAAAAGGTCAACAAGGCGAAGCAGCTCATCCACAACGTCATTGAAACTGTGAGTTACCTCGCTCTCTCTAAGCCCCAACCATCGGAGTCAGTAATTACCTTTGATCTCCTCTGATACTGACGCCCGCTTCAGGCAGCTTCGATTCCCGAAGGCCAGAACGAGCTCAAGCGTAACCAGCTCCGAGAACTCGCCGCGCTCAACGGAACTCTCCGAGACGACGAAAACCAGGCTTGTCAGAACTGCGGTAAGATTGGCCATCGCAAATACGACTGCCCCGAAAGGCAAAACTACACCGCCAGCATCATTTGCCGAGTTTGTGGTAATGCCGGCCACATGGCCAGAGATTGTCCCGACCGCCAGAGGGGTGCCAACTGGCGTAACGACGCAGGCGGCCGACCCGCAGGTAGGATCGGGGGTGGCGATGCCGTCGATCGCGAGATGGAGGTACGTAACTGCTCTGAGCGCTTGGTTCATCGATTGATCTTGGTTCCATTGGTACTAACACCACTCCACAGCAACTCATGCAGGAACTCGGCGGCGGCGGAGCCGCTCCGGCTCAGATCGAGGCCGGTCCCAGCAGCAGCAACAACTACAACGGCAACAGCGATGCGAAGCCATGGCAACGAGGACCTACCGGCGGGCCCGCGCCATGGAGATCCCGCAACCAAGACTCTAACGACGGAGGTAGTGGCGGAGGTTCTGCGGCTCCCTGGGCTCGTGATCGCAACCGCGGCCATGATAACACCAACGGCAACGGACACGGCGCCGGCGAGAACAACTACTATGGACACAACAACTACGGCTCTTCTTCGTCTGGAGGACCGGCCCCGTGGCACCAGCAGGCACACCAGGCAGCGCCGCCGCACCAGGCCGCCCCTGGAATGGGTGCGTACCCCAACTACGCCGCCTATGGTGCCTATGGCGCTGCACCAGGCATGGGCGCGCCTCCGGGTCTGCCCCAGGTCGGTGCTGGTCTCGCTGCTCCGCCAGGTTTGGGCCCTCTGAATGCTCTCATTCAGCAGTATGCTGGAGCGGTGCCTCCTCCGCCCCCGCCATCTGGAGAGGCTCCTCCTCCTCCTCCGAGCGATCAGCCGCCTCCTCCTCCTCCCCCTGGCGCGTAATCGGGAGGCTTCTAACCTAGGCTACCTGCCTCTGCTCAGACGTACTCAACAGACTGTAGTAAGGGAACACAGTAACATGAGATTCTGACGCACATACTTTCCTACTTGGACGGATATAGCGTTGCTTTCCTGGCTTTGAACGAAAGAAAGGCAAGGCACTTTGTTTGGTCCGAGGCTTAGGATTCTCTTTTCTTTATACATCATTTCCAGGTTGTCGAGGCTTCGTAGATGGCCTTACTTTGATGTTGTCCCCGTTGGGAAAGCAGAACTAATCGAACAGGCACTTTAGCTTACCTTTTCTGTTTCCACAACTTTGCATTACTTACCTATATCATGAATGTAAAAAAGTGTAGCTGTATCGAATAATGCATTGTTTTGGAAGTCGATTCTGTGATACATGCTTGCCCTTGATGTGCTAGTTTTGTATGGCTACGTATATATTTGTATATGGACAGAGTTTCCCGTCACTAAATGGATGAGGCTTCTGTAGGTGTGAGCCTGGAAGGTTGTAGTTCTGCTTCAGGCACAGCGGCCGCGTATTGGAATGGTTCTAGCAGGATCTGTCGTCTCTGTAAATCAACAGCACTGTTGCTGCCGCCTGTCTAGATACCTATGTACTGGTAAAGTAGAAAGGTCGCATGATTACCACTGGACGGGTCAATCAAGATTCCTGAACGCGTACAAGACTTCTTCACGACCGGAAGAGGTAGCTCTAAGTATAGGTGTAACTTATCTGAGGAGATATAACAGTAGCAGATTGGACATCTAACTCATTGAAGCACCTACCTAGCTTCCGATATTGAGCTTTGGTGTGGGGATGAAATACAGCGAGTATATATACACCCAGAGCTTCTGGGGCGGCCTAGAGAAATTGAGTTGCTCCTCTTGAAAAGAGACCAGTTTGCTTGAATTGCCGTCTGCTAGGCAGGCTTGACTTAAATGACCTTCGTTTGAAGATGATCAAACGGCCTTGTACTTCGATATCGATTCAATCAGGATCATGGGGTTGTCGAATGCGAGGCCTCGATTTCAGAAAGCAGCCAAGTAACAGAGAAGAGGTATCAAAGAGACACCAATGACGGGAGCAGCAAACAATACATAGAGACTCTTCTGTCAAGAAAGAAATGACTAGGTAACTGAAAGCATATGCTGAAGCATACCATGGCGCATATGGGGCGATTGTCCTCGCGATGATATTCTAGGGAGTGTCGAGAACGGCGGGCCTTGAAGCCTCAAGCTCTTTCATCTCCAGCCTATCTCATGACCGAATGAAGAATCAATAAGGCCTCCAAGAGAGCTGTCCATAATTCTTCAACCCGTATATAGATCGGAAAGGGGCATATAAACCGCCCCATATCTCTCGCTCCTCCATTAAGTACGATCACGAGTTCAACTTGGTTATTTCCCGTCGAATATAAACTTCGTGTCACATAGGGGGGTAAAAGCATCGCATCTCGAATCTCTGGAAGCTTTGGCCGACATGCGGTTTGTTTATCTGGAGGCCTCAAACAGCTTACCGTAAGCACCCACCAACACAAACGCACGGGAGATTAGACTGCTGCGGACCAGATATGACAAGCGGCAGTCTGCAGAACGGCATTCCTTGTCCAATCACCCAGCACAGGCGCCTATTCCCTTCTTTCGGTGGTGAGTTTGCACGGACTTCAGTACGTGAGATGTCAAACGTGGAGCTAGCCGGCACGAACAGCCAGGGGCATCTGTTTCATTCTGTTGGTGATGTGACCATCGAAATTCTGTTCCTGAGTGAATGTCCAAATCGTCGTCTCACGCATGACCGAAATCCTTTATGATGAACATGGCATCTGTTCTGCATGATTCATAGGTAGTCAAGAACATAATCGGTCGGCAAGACGCCGATATCCCCGACCTAGGGCTACAGACAACATTCCGAGTCCGTTTGACGTCCAGCCTCTGGTTGGTCCACCGGCGGACCAGGGGTTGAGGACAAGGCGCATGGGGCTTGGCTGGGCTGGGCTCGGCAAGCTCGGCAGGGCGCAAGGCCGCCTGGCGTTAGCTTGGCGGAGAGGCCTGTTGCAAAGGATTAGCGCTGCGACTCGATATTAGTCGAGAATCGATGACGGAATTCCAGGAACCTGAAGAGAGGTTATCACGTTAGCTTGCGGTGGACGCTGGAGCTGGCGCCGTGGTCCGGGGCATCCGCTGAGTCGAGAGGCAGCAACAGCAGAGGGCGATGGATGGGCGAGAGACAGCAGATCAGCGCAGATCAGAGCAGAGCTGAGCACAGTTTGGGCACAGTCGAGCAGAGAGCTTGGCAGCATCTTTTGCGCGACTCTTAGTCAAAGAACGAAGCACTAGCAGCACCACAGAAGCCCATGTAGTCAGCCGAGTCCTTGGCGGGCGGTGTGGTTGTCCTTGCTGTTCATTTGCCAGCTCAGCCTCAGTCGGGCACGCGATGCAAGTGGTGGGAATTGGGGATTGGCGCGTGGCTAACAGAGCCAGAAGAGAGACATTGAAGGAGTTTGATGGAAGTCATTGTGTTTTGGGTTCAAGTTGGGACAAGGTAAAGAGGTAAGGTAGAGAGAGGGAGACCGGCAGTTGAGGGAGGGAGAAACAGATGTCCCGAAGGCGGTGGAAGAGGTACAGAGAAGCATGTACTACACGATTCCTTCCCTTCCAACTTCTCTTTTCCCCTTCATAGTACTACTCGACTCTTCCTCCATTCCGGCCTCATGCATCATCCTCTTACGCATCGAATCTTGTCCCCCAATCTGTCCAAAAGGCCCGGTTCGCGAATCGACATGTCAAAGCTCGAATCGGCGACCCTCTTGGGCAGCAAACGGGCGACAGCGCCTGGGCCAAAAAGTGGTGCCTCAGCCCACGAGATTCCACATGCTGTCTCCGGCCCTGCAGGGATTTTGCATGCCTCTTCTGGCATTTCACACGGGCCGAAGGCGTGAAACGCCAGCTCTGCTCACAGGGTTTCATACAGGGGGCCTCTTGGGCTCTGTTTCTCACTGCTGACCCGTGGATCGGTGCGTCTCCAACACACAGTGCAGCGCGTTGCCGCCTTTGGCTCTTGTCCAACACCAGCCCTGCCTCCTGTTCGCTCCCTCTCATGCAGATCGTGCGCTGCACGGCGTGGCTTAACGGTGTTGCCCGGTTGGCTGCTGGCATTGAAGCATAGCTGCATGGTGCAACACGCTCAGGCACACCGAGGGACACTGAAACCATGGACGCTAACAAGCCATCGGGAAGAGTTAAAATCGACGCAGGACATCAAGACGCCGTCAAGCCCTGTCGTTTCGGGCCAAGCGCAGCATCTGCTGTGAGGAATTACTACTACTATCCCAGGGCAAACGGGCAGAAAATGGGAATAACGCCTGACCGAGCGAATACGCAGCGATGGATGCTGGCTCCCACCCAGTGTGCTACAGTGTTACAGTGGCCCTTTGGACTCAGTGCTCCCACGGCTCCGCCTCGCTCCTCTGGGCACCACATGCCTTCTCCCGCGGGTCTCAGTTCTGTCACGGCGTCACAGTGTGCAGGCCGCCAAGACGAGGTGAAGTGGCTGGTTCCCTTGGCACACTCTTGGTATGGCGGTTCCATTGGCGGCTGGCGGGCGTCTCCAATTTGACTGCGTGCCATTGGTGGTGGCTCGCCCGCGTCCTAATTTCCCCTGCCTGAAGTTGTGTTTGCTCTTCCTGGGCTCTGGACAAAGAAGACAGACAAAGACATGATGGCGCCGGACAGTGACGGGGAATAAGCGCCATCTCGGACCTGTGCTCTGGGCTCACAAATGCCCACAACCGCCCGTTTTCGACTCCATGAACTCGACCTGGTGAGGCTGGCACACGGCACTCACCTACTACATACGCCTACCGCCTCTTGGCTGTGCCGTGGCCCATGTCACCACGCTCGGTCCTTGGCGCGGATCTGCTTGTGTGGTCGCCTTGCTGTCGGATCCGCTCGATGCACGGAGGGTGTTTCCAAAAAGTGAGATGATCTAGCGGAGGGCGACTAGCATGCAGCTGTGGAGGGCCATGAACGTCGACTAAGCCACCCGCAGGTCAGAAGAGAGTTGTGCTAAGAATACCCTTCTTTCGTGTCTCGGGTCTCACAGGCAAATAAATCTCCGCAGTTCCCTCTTTGCTCTTTGACCAACTCGTCCGGTGTTGCTCGCTGCCGGCGTTCATGCCACAGGACGGTCTGAGCTGATATTTCTCATCTTGTTCCATTATTGCTTTGCTTTTTATCGCCATCCTTCCTGATCCTCTTAAATACCCTCGTGTCGTCAAACGAGCTGCTGTGTCCCCTCCCATCACAGTCTTTCTCTTGTGTATCTTAGCTTGTTTTGTGGCTCACACTTCATTTTCAATTTTTTGGTGACCTTTGATTTGGCATCTCGGGCCTCAGCTCCATCGCATCCTAGCTCACTAAAATCTTGCTCTCGACGTTAGCGATGAGCCGCCAGCTTGCGGCTCTGCTCGCTGCGGCGGCTGTTCTGGCACCGGCCGGGGCTTCAGCAGGTACGGATCCATTTCGAATCACTGTCACGATGGCGTTGAGGAGTGAAGATCAAGGATACGGATTGTGAGGATCTACTGGTGAAATCATTTCTCAACAGTTGACAATCCGAGACCATTCACCACGACGTTCTCCCACGACCTCTTTAAAGGCGTCGAGGCTTCGCACTGGCATACGTGAGAACCCAGACTAACACTTTGCTTCAGTTCCTCCCCAAGACATTCGCTACCGCGATCTCCAGGAGTTCCCCCGGTCACTCGAGGGCCGAGCCACCGATCAGTCGCCCAAGGGCTATGCTCCCTCTGCCGTCGATTGCCCCAGCGATCGTCCCGAAATCCGCATCGGTTCAGATCTCAGTCCTCAGGAGAAAGAGTGGCTGCCCCGGAGACGCAATGCCACAGTTGAGCCCATCCGCGATTTTCTGAAGCGTGTTGCCATCCCAGGCTTCAACAGCGACAGGTACCTGTCCAATGTCGAAAAGGACCCAAAGGCTCTGCCCAACATCGGCCTCGCAGTCTCGGGAGGCGGTTACCGTGCCATGTTGAACGGAGCGGGAGCCATTGCTGCATGGGACTCTCGATCGCCTGGGAGCAACGACACAGGCAACCTCGGTGGTCTGCTCCAGAGTGCAACCTACCTCTCCGGCCTGTCCGGGGGTGGCTGGCTGGTTGGCAGCATCTTCACTAACAACTTCACCACCGTCCAGGGTGCTCTCAACTCGGGCACCATCTGGCAGACACAAAATTCCATTCTCGAAGGTAGGTCACGAGCACATGAGAGCAGCCAAAACACAGACACTAATATTCATCTCAGGCCCTGAGCAGTACAGCTTGCTTAGCTACTACAACGACATCTTTGACGACGTCGACGCCAAGGACAAGGCCGGCTACGACCGCTCCATCACGGATTACTGGGGCCGCATGCTTTCGTACCAGCTCGTCAATGCCACCAACGGCGGCCCCGGCTTCACATTCTCGTCCATTGCCGACGACCCTGACTTCAAGAGCGCGAGAACGCCTCTCCCTTTTCTGGTCGCTGATGGCCGTGCACCGGGCCAAACCATCATCTCCAACAACTCGACCGTGTTCGACATCAACCCCTGGGAGATGGGCTCGTCCGACCCAACGGTCAATGGCTACGTGCCGCTCAAGTACGCCGGGTCCAGGTTCATCAACGGCTCTCTGCCCAAGAATGAGTCCTGCATGGTTGGCTTCGACAATGTTGGCTACATCATGGGCACGTCCAGCTCCCTCTTCAATCAGATCGTGCTGTACCTCCGGGACGACCGAAGCCAGTATGTGCCCAAGGGAGTTCCCGACTTTGTCGTCAAGATCCTGGCAGGCGTTCTGACGGTGCTCGGCAACGAAAACAACGACATTGCCGACTGGACGCCCAACCCCTTCAGGGGCTGGAACCCAAAGAACAACCCTGGCGCCGGCAGTGAGCGGCTGACGCTGGTGGACGGCGGCGAGGATCTGCAAAACGTCCCGTACCATCCACACATCTTGCAAGCGCGCAAGGTAGACGTCGTCTTCTCCGTCGACTCGTCGGCCGACACCGACAACGGCTGGCCGGACGGCGCGTCCATCATTGCCACCTACGAGCGAGCCATTGACAAAATCTCCAACGGCACGGGCTTTCCCTACGTGCCCGGCAAGAACACGTTCCTCAATCTCGGCTTCAACACCAAGCCCGTCTTCTTCGGCTGCAACTCGACCAACGTGACGGGCGAGTCGCCGCTGATTGTCTACCTGCCCAACTACCCCTACCAGTTCCACTCCAACATCTCGACCTTCCAGATGTCGACGGAGCTGGACGAGCGCGACGCCATTGTCACCAACGGCTGGGACGTGGTCACGCAGGGCAACTCGACGCGCGACGCCAACTGGCCCGTGTGCGTGGGCTGCGCCATGCTCGCGCGCAGCTTCGAGCGCACCCGGACCCCGGTGCCGGACGCCTGCAGCAAGTGCTTCCAGCAGTACTGCTGGAACGGCACGCTCGCGGAGCAGGCGCCGGGCGAGTACGACCCGACCTTCTTCAGCACGCCCATTGAGATTGAGAGCTTGGGCGCGAAATCAGCCGGCGGGGCGACGCTGGTGACGGCGTTGGCGGCTGTGGTGTGTGCTGTTTTGCTCATGTAAGGAGGGGATCATGGTGTATTGAGCTTCTTTTGGCCAAATTTTCCGCCATTTTTCTCTTTACTTTTTCTTTCTCTGGATTTTCCCTTCTCTGGCCTTGTGTCTGTTGGATGGATGGATAATACTTGGGTTTTGGATATTACTAGGATAGGATAGGATAGGACGGGACATCACTCGCGCATAGCGATGGCGTGTATAGAATTATGACTTTTTTTCTTTACTTAATTTCATGTCGTGTGTCATTTGATTGTGATGGAATGTATATATGGTCACTGGCCGTTGACGGACGTGTACGTAAAGTTGACGTTAATTCATTGACAGATTGCTGCTTCTCTGCGAAGCTGGTATTTTCATATATACAAAACAAATGTACATCCAAGCTCATGCTTTTACATCACTCCCCTTTTAAGCAAGAACAACGTCCTTGCCCGTCTTTGCACTCTCCAAAACAGCCTCGATAATCCTCAACACGTCCCTGGCCTCCTCGGCCTTGACGGGCACATCCTCGGCCTTGCCGCTCTGCAGGGCCTTTGCAAACTGGGCGTAGAAAGCGCGGTACGTCTCGGGCTCGAGCTCGGGCACGGGCACGCGGCTGGCCTTGCCGGTGGCCTCGTCGACGGCCGTCAGGCTGCTCTTATCGGTGCTCTCGATGCCGTATCCGGCGTCAGTGGGCTTGCCGCCGGCGCGCAAAAAGTCCTCCTGGGGGTCGAGGTGGACCTTGCGGAAGCTGCCCTTTGTGCCGCGGATCCAGTAGCGCAGCTGGTCGACCTCTGCGCTAAGGGCACTGATGTTGACGTTGACGAGCAGGCCGTTGGGGTAGGTGAGCTGTGCGACGACGGCGTCGGGGGTCTCGAACTCGGGGCGGCCCTCGCGCTGGTTGAGCAGGCGGCCGTGGACGGACTGGGGCAGGCCGAAGAGGACGTAGGCCTGGTCGATGAGGTGGGTGCCGAGGTCGAAGAGGGCGCTGCCGCCCTTTGAGATGCCGAGCTGGCCCTTCCAGTTGGCGGGGGCGTCGGCGCGGTAGCGGTCGAAGTGGGTGTTGAACTCGAGGACGCGGCCGAGGGCGCCCTTGGCGATGAGGTGCTTGGCGAGCAGGAAGTCGGCGTCCCAGCGGCGGTTCTGGTACACGCAGATGAGGCGGCCGGCCTGCTTGGCAATGTCGGCGAGCTTCTGGGCCTCGGCGGCGGTGGGCACAAAGGGCTTCTCGGTCAGGACGTGCTTGCCGGCCTCGAGGGCCTTCTTGGTCAGGTCAAAGTGGTTGTCGGGCGGCGTGGTGACGATGATGACGTCGACGTCGGCGTCGGCGATGAGGTCGTCGGACGAGGTGTAGTGCTTGAGGTCCGGGTGGTCGGCGGGCGCGGAGTCGCTGGGCTTGGGCGAGCGCTGGACGATGGCGTGCAGCTTGAGGCCGGCGGTGGAGGTGACGAAGGGGATGTGGAAGACTTTGGCGGAGAGGCTGTTTGTTGTGTTGTCAGTTTTGTTGTGTGTTGGTTTGACGGGTGAAGAAGAAGTAGAGTCAATTGAGGCTGTGCGACTTACCCGTAGCCAACGATGCCGACGTTGAAAGTCTTGCTGGCCATGATAGTGATGATGCTGTTGATGAGGAGGTGGTGATGATGTTAGACAGAGAGAAGAGACGAAAGAGAGAGAGAGAGAGTGGACGAGAGATTGATTTAGAGACGGCTTCAAACTTGGGAAGGAGCAAAGCAGACGGAAGTGTATTTATATCTTTTCGACTTATAGCCTCTTTTAATAATTTTTTAACATTCCGCCACCCCAATTGCCATTATTAATTCATACTCTTCCCCTTTGCCATCATCGTGAACAGGTGCCTTCTAAACAGTGACAGACAAGTAAAGACTCCAGGTCTCAATGGCACTTCTAAGTTGAAGAATACGAGGCCAATTGCTCAGGATTGGCAACTCTGGCCGCACTGAGGCTTTTGGGCCAGAGCAGGCAAGTCCATCCGTGACCCCTCCAACCCCTCCTTCCCCACCTGCCCACTTGCCATGAATCGTCCAGAATCGAATGACGTCTGTTTCTGACACTGGAAAAATCGGGGTGGTTTCCAGGGTAGGCTTAGCGGGCGTTAAGCATCTTGGAGATGGTTATTTCGCCATTCTAGCAAGTCTGGGTTATTATTGCCCGTGGAATGGGGAATTCAAGGAGATTTGTCGGAGTAATAATAGTTGGTTGAGATGACTGTGTTGAAGATTCCCCTAGTGGATGAGTGGCTGCTGGTGGTGATTGCAGAGCGATGCCTTCTATGTATATACATAGAGAAAGCCTTCACCCAATCTCGTCCTCGACAACTCTATCGGACGTTGGCTTAATATTACTTGCACTATTCGCACTTTTCGGGCTTTATCGAGTGTTATGTAAGAATGGTACCTTAAGCAACAGAGTGGCTATCCAGCATACCAGCAAAAGAATATCATCAAGGTATAAAAACTACACCATAAAGCGATCCTACTCTACCCTGGTCTCCCGCTGGCCTTTTCAGTCTCGTATCAGCTCTTCTTAATCCTACTAAGAAGGGTTCAAACAGCTTTTGGCTCTGCGTGTGCCAATCTGGCGTGGTGAATAGCCGAGTCAGGGTCCTGGATAGTCACTTTCTTTACTAAACAACAACTAATCTCTACCTTGGATTTGTTGACTGCCTCGAATTTGTTTCATGAAGAGCCTTCGGGTCGTGGAAGTAGGTTACTAGTAGGTTAATTACCTTACCTACCTCACCTACCAAGGCACTTATGCAATGTCACCTTGCACGCCCAAGCGAACAAATATAAGCAACATAGGTACCCTTCATCCTAGTCATTGACCATGTCAACTCCATGCCTTGCTCTACTCTACTTCCCTGCCAAGTTCAACGAGTGCCAATTACCGAAGTTGTATTGTATCCAATGTCTATCAATTTCCAGTTGACCTATATCATGAAGTCGTTCCCACAAACACAACCAAGACAGCCGCATATGTCGCCGTCGAAATCATCGTCTCTGTGTTCGACGCCCTCATAAACACAGACAAGAAAGCAGCAAACAGCAAGACGGCAACAGACACGGTGACCAAGCTCTTGGCCAGTGTAGCGCGAGGCAGCCTCATAATCAGCATCGGCACAAGAAGCGCAGCACCGCCTATAAACGCAACGATGAACCTCGCCATCCTGTCCACAAACGGCGAGACTTCCGTGGGTGGCAGGCCCTTGAGGTACTCGGATGTGTGGCGGTGTATCTCGCGCTTGGTGTAAGTGAGGTTCTTGGGCAGGACGGCCTTCAAGACGTCGCGGAGCGGATCGCTGGCCAGGATTGACCTGTCGGGAAGTCGACGATAAGCCCCGGGGTCGTCAGACACGTCTCCCACCTCGATGAAGCCCTGCTCAATGTCGAGACGTTGGTTCTGAGCCTGGTAGGCCGTGGCTGGCACCAGTCCGCTCAGGTACTCATAGTCGCGGATGGCATTGGCTGGAGATGCTCAACAACATATCTCTAGTTTAGCTCGCGGTTGGTCTGAATTCATTGTCCCTGTTATGTCCTTACTGTAGGCATGCAGGAGCCTTGTCAACTCTTCATTCTTGGCTTTCGGAAGCTCTTGCGCCTCGTTAACCTCCTTGCTCAACTGCGCAAGCTCCATCTGCAGCCGGACAATGTTGAGCCGGTGCAAGCCCCGAAATGCAGCAAAGTAGGGCTCACGTTTGCCGGCGCCTTGGGTGAAGACGAACAGGCGTTTCTCATAGCTCATATCAGCCGTGGGTATTCCCTCGGTGAGATGTGCTGGTAGGCCGGCCATTTCCATTTGCTTTTTTTTTTTCTCTTTTTGCGCTCTTGATGGCGGTAGGACGAGGCTTAATGGGAAATACAGGTACCCGACATGAGATCTCTGGACTATACAGGGCGATTTCTACAACGGGCACAGTTGCGGCTCCAAAGAGTACAGCTTGCAGGGGTCAAACCAATCATCGCAAAAGCATAGCCGCGATGATAGGTATCCACACGATATCATCAAGCTCAAGGCATAATTGCTGGTGTTGGACAGACCGGCAACGAGGATCATGCGACAATGCCTAAATCGAGGCCCAAAGCTCACTTGTGTTACATGTATATATGTATGTATACACACGTAGGTAGATTAGACATGATTCCAACAAGCTGGGCGTACTATGTCCAGCTAACACGAGCACCAGAAGATGAATGCAAGTCCAGTCAGATTGAGCATTAACTTTGTTTAAATCGTTGAATAGTTTCTCTATCCTTCATTGCATCAATTGCGTTGATGTTTTACAACCTCTTAAAGATAAGCATACTCAAGTGCCAGACAATGGCTGGCTGGACGTGATCTTACGCATTTGTAGACTGTCGTTACTCCAAGCATCGATCTAGGAGGGAGGATGATTGAAATGCATCCCATGGACATTGTCGAATCCCAAAAGAGTGTATACCACTAAAGTCTTCCATATATCTACCTACCTTACCTTCACTCCTCGGGAATATATATCTACCTAAGAGTAAACAGAATGTTTAACTCGGGCAGCGTCATCGAAACATTGTCCACCGTATCCCTCTCAAACCCTTCTCCTTTCCCCAACGCAAACCCAACATCAAACTGCAACGCAATCCGACTCAACACCATCCTCATCTCCATCATCGCCAAATGCCTCCCCGGACACGCCCACGGCCCTCTGTTAAACGCCATCCAAGCCCCTCCATCCGTCGCACAGCCCTCCCACCTCTCCGGCTTAAACACAAGCGGGTCTTCCCAGTATCGCTCGTCGCGCTGAATCGTGTAAGTCGGAACTGTAGCGATTGTTCCTCCTGGGATGGATTGGCCGTCAATAAAGATGCCTTGTGGAGGAACTGTTCGGGGCATTCCGCCTGGGACGATGGGTCTCAGACGCATTGTCTCGTGGATGACGTGGTCTACGTAGGGGATTGCTTTTGCTGCTTCGTATGTCCACTGCGAGATTCCTCCCGGGAACTGTTCCTGGACTTTTGCCTGTAGCATTCGGTAACAGTGGGGATTGCTTGCTAGGAGATAGAGACTATACGATGTAGCAAACATGAGTAAAGCTCAGGAGAACAAGTCTGAAAGACTCACGCATTTGTCAAGACACCAGCCGATGTGTCACTGTGGTGTATTGGGGAGCCAGACAGTCAGCATCCATTATAAAGGTGTGAGTGACTCGTGACATACCTGCCGGCTATCAATAGAAGCCGAGCGTCTTCTTCAACAGCCTTCTTGCTAGGAGGTGCTTTCAAGAGCCATGACATGATATCCTGCGGTTCTTTCACGGTATTCATAATGAGTGTCTCAAAGTGTTCAACTAGTCAATCATCAGGTCTTTCAAGTCAAGAAGAGGGCAAATACTCACCTTGCGCTTCTCGTTGACTTCATCACGGCACCACCTCGAAAAGAGATTGTACGTCGTCAATCCTGGTATTGACCCAATCATGTAAATAAGCCACGGGACGGTACTCAGGATCCCGATAAGCGACATGGTCCTATGAATGCCTTTGATGGCGGGATGATAGCTCGTCGACTCGAGCATGCGAAAGTCTTTCGAGAACCCTATGAACTGCGTCTTAGCCAGCTGAGTAGACTACCCCAGTCTTGATCAAATCAGTTCTTCACTTGCCTACGTCTGCCATGACATCGAAGCTAAAGTACATAAAATACTTTGTCACGTTAATTGGACTGCTCTCCGCGGCTGCAATGTTGGACATTAAGAGTTCCACCTTGGCCTGAACGCGAGGTTCATACAATTCCAGAGCTTTCCCGAACTGCTCGTCAGCATCACAACAACAATACGCAGCTTGCAGAAACATGTGCGCAAACTATGGCAAAGGTAGGCCATACCTCGAGATCCCAGAGCCCTCTCCCAGACCTTCTTCCTCATCTTATGCATCGCCACATCTCTTGTATTTACCAGAGAAGACTTTGCGGCATGCCTCGACATTTGCGCGTACCAAGGCGGTCTAGTCGTTTGCGCATGAGCGCCATATATGGCTCTGATTACAGAGAGACGATTGATGGATAGCTCCTGAGGCCCTAACCACTTATTCAATACATGTCGAGATCATGTAGTAGTAGAGAGCCACAGATGGTGCGACGTGGCACTACTTACCTACTCGCACAATGTCCCCGTACTCCTGATGCAGCCCCTGTATATCTTCAAACCCCTTTCTACTGTGTATCATTCTGCCCATTGCATAGAACCTTGAAAGTCCAGCCAAAAACGGTCCAGGGAAGTGTCTCAGAGGATGGAAAAGCGCTCTGTAAACGAGAATACTTGCTATAACGCTGCAGTTGTACACACTCGCAATGAAAAAGGTCCAGAGCGAAGCAGGAATAACTTGATACCCTCTTTTATGAATATAGGTTGCAAAGACGGTAGCCATTGAGGCGATGTATATGAAGATCAGTTGCCATATGTAGGTATCAATCTCGTAAGGTCGGAAGACGAGATGATGAGATGCGATGCCCGCCAGAAGCGAAACACATGTCGTGACTCGCCACGATGAAGACAGGTCAATTATGAAGAACTCCAAGGCTTCTTCCATCTTGAGTACCTCAAGCAAGTGCTTGTGATTCACAAGGAAGCCACCCACGGTGGGAGCACAGGAGTCGGCATAAATAATACTAAAACGAGGCTCTTTGTGTCATTAAGAGGGGAGAACATTCACAGTATTCACTTCATATCAGCCAGCATATCACTTATTTCAACTCTCGACAAACCCCTCTTGTTTCCTTGCGCCCTTTATAAAACACAATATATAAAAACAAGGAAAGGACTGTTCTTTTACGCATTTATTGCAGTGCTTGTCGCACGAAAACGCCACTTTCTGCAGCCTGGTGTTGGTTTTCCGGCGTGGGATTGGACCGACGCTGTTTCGGTGTGCTATATCATCATGTAAGGGCTGCCAACTAGATCACGCTTGCAATGATCATGTGAGGAAAGCATTTTCGAGAGGGTGAGTCTTCAATAAAAGCTTGCGAACACTATGGAGCAAAAGGCTGGGTTATGGGGAAAATGTAAGGGGCTTTTAGTCGATGTCGCAATCCAACAACACCCACGTATAGGTTGATTATGGGTCAGATCCAATTCGAGAATATCTGTTTCACTCCAAAATGCAAACTCAATATATACTAGATATGCTGAGGAGGTAACATTCAGCACAACCTTTTCTCTCATTAGTCTGATGACCAAGCACCACCCGCATGGTCTATAGGAGCCAGAGTGTCGAGGGCATATCTAGGATAGTAAGCAGCACGGCGAACCAAACAAATAAAGCCAAATCATAAGCGTCATTTCGCTTCTCTCGAACCATCGCTGTCTCTACTCCATGCAGTCTCACAACGTCGAGACTTGCATGAGGAGTCTAAAAACGTTAAGGTAGACATCCAGTGAGAGCAAGGACAAACCTGGGATATAGCGATCTCGAGGGGATTCTCCGCCAATCGATAATACTCTCGGAATGCTCTCATTACTGAACCAACATGTGCCCATATCTGACATTACTTTACAGCCAACCTCGGGAGCCATAAGCCCCTTCATATCACCCTCCAACAAGCCCCAACGTACTACGCATAAAGACTACACTGCAGTCATTTCTGCATTGCCGCCAATATCCCCCATCACTTATTCATGTTATCATGTGCATCAAGCCCGAATTAGAGAAGAAAGTTAAGAAGGAACAAAACCTCCAAGAGTCAGCTCAAATCCCGCGCCATCTATCAGACCAAGTGCCAACTCCCTCATCAACACTCCTGACCCGTCCCCCAGCTGCTATCCCAGTCCAATCCTTGTCACAGGTAAGCTGTATATACAAAGTCCGGCAATATATCCTGCGGCTGGGGGGGCAGTCAAGCAGTATATCGAAGCATTGCTGGAGGTCGCGCGGCCGAGGAATGCATCCATTCGATAGCTAAATGCTATTTCCCGCCTTCTAATTCGACCTTTAGGTTTCTCACCCTCTTCATTTTGCATAAACCACATGAAGATATACGTGAAGAAAGATGTCAATTACTCGGTTAGCCAAAGTCCCACCAATTAACACAAGGCGCTCTTTCGGAACGGCATTTCCCCATGACCTGTGTGTTGCCCACTCGCAGCTTCAGTCCACGGAGTTGCTCACCAGCAACCCTCTTACAACATCTCCCCCTCTTCGCTCATAAAATTCATGCCACAAGTTCGCAGCAGCAGCATAACACAGGAGACATCCTTCTATCTCGACGAGGCCTACTCATCAAACAAGCAATAAGACAAACAGTCAAAGAGCTCAAGAATCAACCGTCCTATACCCTGTATCATCCCAAGCATCCGTGTGACTAACACACAGAAAGCACAAATCGAACCTTCTACATCATCTCGTCTTGTACCACACATGTCCTTATACAAGGGATTCCCCCTTGAGGGTTATGCTTGAAGCCTGGTCTTCTCAAAGAACAAAACAACTGAAGGACTGGCATTACTCCTATCTCGGATAGGAAGTACTTGGTCGACAATCTGCTCTTCATTATATGGGATATTCATCACCGAGCAATGCAAAATGATAGGACGCAATGCCTCATGAACACAGCTTCCCAAACGCAAAAAAGGGAGGCAGAGCATCATGAAAGCCAGGTAGGTAGTCTTCGCTCTCTCACACGGCAATCACCAGACACACCCTCCATCGGCACGAGCTTCAGCCGATTCCTCTACGACCTCTGTCTCCCAGTCTCCTCTGTAAAAGAACAAGAAAAGCACATTTATGCCTTCTTCAGACAGGACATGATTCTCACTCCCTCATATGCTTCGTCAAAGAGGTCAACCCTAATGTCATCCCCTCACCGACCATGTCATGGTACACTCTTGGATCATATCAAGCCTCAGCAACGTGACAATTACACGCAAGCAGATATACCTTTCTCGGAACAAGCAGACCACACGCACACCAAAGCCTAAAATATCTCTACGTCCGCACTTTCAATCATCACAGTTCAGCTTCCATCGATCCATGATCCATACAATCCAAGCCTCTCCATCTCTAAGCCCCTCTGTCCCCCTTACAGTAGAGCCAACTTTGCCACCCCAGAAATAGCATCCTCCAGAATCCCCCAATCAAACCCAGATTCTTGGATTCACCTGCATCTGAAAAAAAAGGGGGGCGTGTGGCTATAGCCTTTCTTCCCGCATACACGGCCGTCGAATTACGTATCTACATGCATCCTCCGTGCCGCTCTAGAACATGGCTGGAAAGGAGGCTGGGAAGGGATGCCGAAAGCTGAAAGAGCAAAAGCTGGAAAGGTAAACAATCTCCATGACTTCTACGACTAGTAAAGTCCATCAGACATTCACTCACAAGACTCGTCCAGTGGACGAATAAACACAGGTTCGTGCAGACCAATGACGCATCCCAAGGTTCATCTGCGGAGTAATGAGCCCAAAACCACAGGGAGGCCGACTCACTCTCAAACCCCCAAGCTCGTACCCATACGGAAACAATGTTTCGCAAAGTAAGACACACAGCCCCCGCCTCGGAGGAATTGGGAGCTCCCAGGGTGACACCTCCGCCCCGATTGTACCACCGCACTTGACGTGCAATCGGAGCCATCAGTGAGACAGCTGAGGCGGAGTTGCTCGAGTACTGCTGCAGGACGTGGCTCCGGCACCGTGTACGAGTACACTTGACGGGCATCCTTCACACTTCGCCAGCACACCTCCTCGGCTCTCGACCGCGCAGCTAGGTAACACAGTAGCGCCGGTTATCGCGGCGAATACTCTGCAGCAAGCCCAAGGCACAGCCGGCGGTGGCCCATCCCTCCAGAAGCATCTTTTCAGCTGTGGCTTGCCCGACCACATGCAGCGTGAAGTATCATTGGAGTCGACCACGAGCCGTGTCTGCTCAGTTCAGGGGGAAAGGGATCGGCCAACTCAGCAGCGTCCATTCATCTGTAAGGGGGGGCTTTTAGAATCGTGGTTCGTCGCCACGGCGAGCCACCATCAGTCAATCTCCCGTCCGTGTTCCTGGATGGCTGGGTTCGATGGGATCTTCGATCTGGAGGCTTAGGGCGTGGATTCGAGACCTCTTGATTGTCCGCCCGGATTGACGGTCATCGCCAGGCAGGAAAGGTCTTCCCGCCCTGCTCCTTCGTCCTTGTCTGGAAGCTGCATCTCTTTGACGGAATCGGTTGGAAGGACTTGAGCTGCATCTCTAAGCGGCCCTGTATATATGTATGTGAAGCCGTCTCGGTGCTTGGCCGTATGTATAAGCCATATTGGTCTGCTGCTTCTCGTAGCTCGAGGCAAAACGAGGAATTGATTTGGTTTGTACTGTTTCTGAATGTAATACACCGAACATCAGTCACAAACATAAAAGGGGGAGGTAAGGAGGTGTGAGTAGATGCGTCGGGCAGCTCAAGCTCTTACCTTCCTCATCAACATCAGGTTGACCGCCGTCGCAGCACGAGTAATGCTGCTGCAGGATAACCTAATACATACAAGATAATATCGGCCTTTGTGCAACATACATCGACCGAGACACAGCACTATTACCTAGTGAACTCCACGCAAAGGTTTCTTCCTCAAGCAGCGCCGGGGCCGTGCCGCCCAGGCCCACACCGTCGTGCAAGGATATGGCCTCTTCGGCCAGTTTTTGCAGCGTCCAATGGAAGCCATGAGACCACGGCTGCAGGCGGGCTGCATCAAGTAGAGCATGTTCAATCTCCGAGACCTCCAACGTAGTGGTTGCCGGCAGTGCACTTTCGCCGATCCCAAGAAGCAGCAAGAATAGCATCAGCAGACAGACGGCCGAGGCGATCTACAGTCTCACGGGAGCAGCATTGCGTTTGTCCTCCATCATCAACAGACTGGCTCGCACTGCTGATCCCCCAGCCTGATGGATGACAGCATCCACCAGGCGAGCTCGAGCCAAGAGGCCTACGAAAGGGCCGGGAGACCGCTGTTGGCAAGCGAGCAGCACCACCGCCCGTCAGCCAAATCACCACTTGCAGATGCCCCCGTAGAGCCCCGGAAATGATGCCGGACAGCGTGGACGCCCACAAAAAGCCAAACCCTGCAGCTTCCAAGGGCATCTCGATCTAGAGTCAAGAGTCAGTCTGCTGGTCCGGAGTATTACCCGACTCCGGCTGCGCACAATGGTGGCCTGACTCTGGCACAATGGACCGGGGGCCATTGGACCAAGTCGCATTGCGGCGAGGTAGAGGAGCATTGGGCACGGCGGCATCTGGGAGAAGCTAATAGAGAGAGGAATCAGTTGTAACAAGACAAGCTTTCATCGCACGCGGTTCAATCTGCGGAACTCGCCAGTTCAATGATACATACTGCGTAGACCATGCCGTCTCGTAGCAAGGATTCAAAGCAAGTCACCAGTTACCCACCGGGTCCTGTGCCAGGTCTCATGCCAGACTGGGGATATTCCTCCGTGGCAGGAGAGAGAATAATAGTAATAGCCATGCTGGTTGAAGGAAGTTCCCCGAACCAGCAGATCTGACTTGCTTGTCCTCCGTTTGTACTGTACCAGTGGTCTTCGCTGGACGGACCCGCATGAATTCATCTCTCATTCTGGGTCGGTCTGCGCGCGGTAGGGAGCATAATTTGATCAGATTCTGACCAGTGTCCGGCCACCCCTGCAGACTAGTTGCCACGTTCAAGAGCAAAGGAGATTGGCGGCCCCTATTCAATCGGCGAGATCAATAGAAAGGCTCTGCCAAGCGAGGGGTTTGCTCTGCCGCTCGATATCACATGGCGAAAGGATTTCTCGTGTTTCTGCCATTGGCCTCGGCACGGCGCGCCTGAAGCTGTAGGTACTGACCACCAGGGCTAGCGGAGGGAAGAGGGAGAGGTGTGGTGGACAGGGGAGAGGCAGGACAAGCAACGAGCAAAAGGACGAAAAACTTGGTTGGCGGCACATTGTTGACATGATGCTGGAGCTTGCAGAAAGACCAGGGCTAGAGCAAGCTAACCGATGGACCGTGGACCTTATGGAGATCCCATCGGATCAGGCGCCTGGGATAAGCAACTGGCGTCAGGGGGGCAGCTGCGGGGGAAATTGCGTTGAAGAGGAAGAGGCACGCATCACGGAGAGGGTGTCTCTGGCCAAGCGATTCATGCTTGTCGCCCAGGCGCTCACAGACCCTCTGGTTCCCCGGACTTTTTGTTGCCGATTCACTCTGCTAGAGTTACTATTAGCGAGTTGCCAGGAGGACGGACAAGGGTCGGCCGGGGACTTTGGTAGAGATTTTGGCGCCGAAGTTGAGCTGCATCTTGGTCCGATATCATCTCCGTCAGCAAGAGGGATGGGGGAGAGACCTGGTGGCCTTGTCCAGGTCGTTGATGGCAGCAATTTCACGCCACTCCCAATTTGTGAGCGGGCGACTTCGACGCTCCGGGTAAAGAGCAGCAGCAGGTCTTGCAAACTAGCACTGGAGGCGCTCAGCTCATGGGCGCCCGGTGTCGTGTTCCTGCATCTTCTCTTCCTTTCTCTTCGTATCCTCGTAGGGCAAAGCTCCCTCTGGCCATCCATTTCCGTCGTGTCTGAGGCAAGGCGGCGTCTGTTTCTGGTGGAGCCGCTCCCCCATTCCAGCCGTCGAGCCTAGTGATCTTGTTTGCCTCACTTCGACCCTCTCAGCCTCCCTTTCATTGCCTCGACCGCTAGCTTCTCGAATCTTGGCGGAAGAGTCGGACGGAGTTGGAATGGCCACGATGAAGAGCCCGTCGATCGCCTCCCTGTTGAGCCATTACCAAGTCGACCAGGCAAGGGGAAAAGGAGAAGCTGGCAGAGATGGGCGCACCAGTTTCTCCGCAGTTTCGTCGCACCCTCGCTAGGGATTCGATGAAAACAGGCTGAAGGGCGTGTGTGCCTGCAGAATCGAGCAAAGCGCCAGCTGTGGCCTAGGGTGACTCAACGGGCAAAGCCCAGCGTCTGAAGCAGGTCTCCCAGTGTAAGTAAGGTACCTACATGTAGGTAGGTAGGTAAGGTATCGCTCTGGTACATGCTTCTGACGCCGCCGAGCGTCTCTCCGAACGCTGTAGGACTTTGGTAGACTGGGGAAAAAGGACATTGGAAGCTCAATGACATGATGCTGACGAAAAGACGGCATCCGTTGTTTGCAATTCTGCGCATGAGGTACTACCTGCCCGCCAGTACACGGAAGCAGGGGCTGAGGTTACAGCGGGCGGACAGGGCTGGTGGTCGCTGGAGCCGATTGCCACAGGCGGTTCGATGCGCTGAAGGCGCCGGAAGTCGCCTGGAAACTCATCGAACGGACGCTGTAATAACACCCCGTGGAACTGTAGCCGCAGGAAGCAGGTCGAGCGACGAATTCGGCCGAGTCTGAGCCGAACATGGTGATGCTCTTCCAACCTGTCATTCTGAGACCTGGACTGCTGATGGCCGCGAGCATCGTCGTATCGAAAGACAGCCCATCGTCTCGCCCCTCATGGTTGCAGCAGAGCATCGATGCCATCATCGTCGCACGGCGTCGTCTGAAAAGAAAACTTTGTCGAACAGCCCAGCCACAGCAGACATGCGAGGTTACGTGCGCGTCTGCAACCAAACCCGTCCACCCACACCCACACACACAACTCGTGAAGCGGAGGCGAATGACGGCCGCAGCAGATGGCACAGTAGCGGCGGCACAGCTGGCCAACCACGCTCGCACCTGGAAACCCCAGATCTGCGGATGCAAAAGTCGAATGGCAGGGAGCAGCAGCGGCCAAGCCCCATGGCAGATTGACAGAAGGGGCTGGGCCAATGGCGACGATGGGCGGGCTCGCGAGGACAGCAATTGGCCGTGTCGATTGCCCGGTAATTTCTGGCACGAGTCCAATGGAAAAGTGCTGCTGATGCTGCTGCTGGTGGTAGGTGGCTCGTCGGGTCATCGTGCGGCATCTCCGCGCTCCCTAGGTAGTTGGAGTCGAGCTGTTAGCTGGCCGTCTCTCCTGCTGGGGCTGAGAGAGGAGGATGAGGGTTCATCTCTCCGGAACCCAGGATGCCAGCCCGCGGTAGCAGCGAGAAGTGAGTGAACCTTCACATGTCTGCTGTTGGACTGTGCAATACGCAGTACATCCATTAACTCACCTCGCCTCTTCCGTCGAGATACAGCGGCAGCCGTAGCAGGAACCTGACATCACCGGCAGCGGCCACAGCAGGCAGCGTACCTGCAACTCGTCGTCAGAGTCGAGACGAAGCTGCAGTCATCTGTCATCCCCCATATTCCAGCGTCCATGGAGCGTCGATCGTGCGGTGCCCGGCTCGGCCGTGTGTAGCAGATGGGGTTAGAGGCAGCCAGATCCTGGTCCCGACGATGGTTCAGTTCAGTCCATGGCCTTGCCACGCTCAAGTCCAGGCCATGGATGTCGCTACCTATGTACAGAACACCCGACGTCTGCCTGGCAGGCGTTGAAGCGACAAAGTCTCTGTGACTGCATCGTGCAGGCGAAAGAGGTAGGATCACTCAGTCTTGGAAGTCACCGGTACTCGGCATCCCCTGTAACCGCCTGTGGCCACAGCGCCTTCCTTCGCTGTTCCCTCGAGCTCCACCTGCGTGGCTGCCCAGAAGAGAAGTCGCGCTCCGCAGTTGCGCACGCACTAACGGGGATTGTGTGTTACATGCTGCAGCAGGAGGTACTCGCGGGCGTAACGGTACTTTGCAGCTGCTAGTGCACACCGCCTCCCGTCACCGCAATGGGCAACGCGGCAGAGGTACTGGACGACTTGCGCCGATGTTCCGCGTGTTTAGCCGGTACATTCATTCCCTGTCCCTTGCTTGCACTTCACACAGCCAGCGCCACCACCACTGCCAACGCCAGCCAACATGAGCCCACCTGCAGACGGATTTAGCAGCCCTCACTTCATCAATTGAACCAAAGTCACCTCGTCCCTGTTTTTTCCCCCAAGGTTCCTCTCGGCCCTGCTGCCGTCTTTGGACGCTGGGTCGCCTCTTGGGCTGTCCTCCAATCTTCCACCCCCGGCCCGACGATCGATAGGGGAGGGGCGTGCGGCCCCAGCTGAGACCAGCGACAGCGACCGGCCGACCAGGGGCGCCACAGGCGGGTTGCACCAGCTAGCAGGGCACTAGGCCGCCAACGACGCAGCAGCGGGCAGCCACTAACAGCGCTGGACGGGCCAAGGCAAGGGAAGTGGGCAGACGGAGCTCCTCGACAGGGAAACGGCACTGGACCTCTTCGATCCATCCAATTCACTCCATCCATCCATCCAGCCAGCCATTGCGGCTTACAGTACTGCTACCTCGATCTTCTCGGCTCAAAGGTACATAAGAAGCCTTCCCTCCATCCGCAAACTCTCTTTCGCTTCTCCTCTTCTTTTCCTTCTCCATCCACTCGCTCGCTTCTACAGTCCAGCTACACTCGTTGTCAGCAAACACAATCCCCCCCCAAAACACCAAAAAAACAAAAATCACCACCTTCTATAATCCAATCCACCCCCTCTCTTAATACCGCCAAGATGAAGACCGCCTTTGTTGCCCTTGCCCTCGCCGCTCTGGCTCAGGCCCAGACCCGCGCCGACATCCCCTCGTGCGCTCTGCCCTGCCTCGACGACGCCGTCAAGGCCAACACCAAGTGCTCGACCACCGACTACGCCTGCATCTGCAAGAACTTCGACGCTGTCCAGGGCGCTGCCACCGGCTGTGTCATCTCCAAGTGCGGCACTGACGTCGCCATCAGTATGTCTTGCCCCCTCCCCCGTCCGGTGCCATTTGATGGCAGAGAACCTCACGACAACAGATGCTAACCGCTCGCTATAGACAAGGTCCTGCCCGCCACCCAGGCTCTCTGCGCTGCCAACTCTGGCGGCTCCGGCTCTTCTGGCTCTTCCTCTGCTGCCGCCGGCACCACCGCCGCCCAGCAGACCACCTCTGCCGCTCAGGAGACCACCACTGTTGCCCAGACCACCGTTGCCCAGACCACTGTTGTCAGCTCCGTCGTCAGCTCTCCTCCCGTCCAGACCATCACCACCACCACCCCCGCTGGCCCCGTTGGCTCTGGTACTGGCGTTGTCCCCCCTCCCGCTGGCAACCGCACCACCACCGGCGCTCCCACTGCTCCCACCAACGCCGGCTCTGCTCTCCTGCCCGGCCTTGCCATGCTCGCTCTCGGCGCCCTTGCCCTGTAAGGGACTTTTCAATCTTGCTATTTGACGAGTACGGAGCGAAAACGGCGTAGTAGAGAGAGAGAGAGAGAGAGAAAGATGGCAATACCCGGAGGAATATTACTTGCTGGAAGGCTAATGGAATGATGAATGAGCTGGACCCGGTCAACTTTGTGTTGGATTTGGATCTGCCCTTTCGAGGGACTGTAATACGCAAAATATATTACCAGATTACTGGCTTAATGCTAATGTCTTCGGACGCTTTTACGATTTACTTTCTTGTTCGACTTGCTTGTGACATTGATCTCCTGTAATCCGAGTGCTTGTATGAGGCTTCGTTCTGGAACTTGAAATGTCTTGTCAAAACAGGCACGAAAACCATCAAAGAGCACAAATTTCTCACATGGAGCCGGGCTGGGCGGACGATGATTCGGACTGATGCAGAGCGCGGGCTGTCGCCGAGATGCCTCCAGTTACTGCGCATGTACTGGTACTGGACGGCGAGTCACTGGCCGCCCATTTTTACTGCATCCAGCAGGTGACCTGCATGTACCGTTGCAGTATTGCCAAACATCCATGACCATGAACGGACTCGAAGGAACCAACAAGAAAAGAGGTGCTGGACCCGCAGTATCCGAGCTTCCGCGAGAGCGCGACGAGGGAAAACATGGATGACAAGGGCAAGGCCGTTTTGTTCGTTTTTTATTGTCTTATTACAGCAGCCGTTGACTAAGAGAAACTGGCGGAACAGAATCCTGGTTCGCAGAACGTAAGCGTCGGGTGCCAGTTGAGAAAGGAGACCCTGCTTTTTGCCAATGGAGGGGACATTGCTGGCGATGGGAGGGCTGGGAGGTGGTCTGATGTTGATGATGAGCGTGAGGAGTGCAGTGTAGTTGTGTTTGCTTCGCTTTCTAAGGATACTACTATGTAGGAGGTATTACTGGTGCTTTCTTTAGGTAGTTGACGATGATGACATGGGCCTTTGGAGAGGGTTTGTCTTTGCGGGGGAGCATGGAGGGGGGATGGATGGAGCATGTTACAGTAGGTACGGCGGCGTGAAGCTGTTGTATGCGTGGGAAAGAAGAATACGAGCATGCATGAAGAAGAGATGCGGAACGAGGAATTGGTGCATGTTACAGTGGTCAATGCGTGGTGGGAGGTGGTTTGGCGAAGCCATCGTGATGCTCCGAGCTTTGGGAGCTTGTACGGGGCTGTGGATGAAATGACTTGAGAATGGTGGACTGTGATCGGTAGGATGAATGGGATAATAATAGTAGGTATCCGGTATACGAGGAGTTTCAAGTGGTAGTGCTGTGGGAGCTGCAGCACCAGCCAATGTTTTGGAGGACTGACGCATCGCGGCCTTTGTCTGGTGGTGCACATCGTGCAGGGCGCTAAGGCGGCATATTGAGGTACGAGATGCAGGACTGTGGGAAGAGGGTGTGATGGGATGGGAGAAGAGGCTTGAGGGGCTGTTGACTCACGTAGATGTGTAATCTTGCCAGAGATGAGGAGAGACGAGAGGCAGCTGGTGACTTATTATTACACGAGAATGTTGATGTTTCTTGTGAGGACTTTGCTCATATGATGGATGATGAATATAGGATTACGCAGTTGCTGGGGAACAGCTTCACTCACGTCGGTTAGTCCATGGAGCGAGAAACACGGCGAGACACGGAAGAACAAGGGCTAGAAAAAGCCAGAACAAACTGTGGCGGAGGCGCATACTGGAACTTGTAAGTCGTTGCGGCCACATCATTGGATGCAGGTATGAGGCAGCACACACACATACATACACACATACAAGCGGGCGTTTATACGCACTTGTATCTCGTACAATCTTGGTCCACCGCGTCCATCGTTGCTCTACGAGTAGCTTGTACCGCAGCGTTCTGAAATAGAGCCTTGGTGGCGCACGATCTAGCGAGCGGACGGACTTGCGCTTGGAGAGAGAGAGAGAGAGGAAGGTTAGGTGTGGCTTGCCACCGTATGGAAGAGAAAGGAGGAGGGTGGCATTCGTTCGTATTGCTAGCGGAGAAGTTCTGCTTGAGGCATAAGGTAGGTAGGATTGGGTGTACAGTGATGTGAGATGGAGGGGGAGAGGAAAAGCTGGGGAAAAAAAGGTACATGTAGATGTTCCTTGGGGAGCTGTGTTTGAACGAGGGAAAGGGGGGGATTTTCCGTTCAATTCGTGTTTTCGAAGGCTTCAATTCGGGGAGTTTTTGGTGATTATGGTGGATTGGGTGATGGTGCTTGATTAGAGCAAAATTTTGCAGATTCTTTTTGCGGTGTTGGTTGGGTTTTCTTCGCGTTGATGAGCTTATACGAGGTACATTTTCTGTAGTTTGGTGGTGGTGTGGAGAGCGTTTTTTCATGACGCGGCTTTGTTATGCGCGCGCGCGCGCGTGTGTGTGTCTGTGTGTGTATGTTGCATTGAATATTTCATAAGCTTTCGAACTCTTATGCTATGGCCTACTTACAAGGGAGGAAATGAGAGTCTGAGACAAGGGAAATGGTGAAGAAGGCGCAACTTGGAAGGGCTTGATGCCGTGACTTGAGGAGCAGTGTTCAAGTATGAATATGGCGGCTATTGGGGGGGTTGAAGTCGGTAGTGTGCAAAACATTCCAAAGAGGACAAGCCACTTTTCACCTCTTTGAATTGACTTCTGCAGAAAGATGATCTTCCTTGAATTGTTCTCCCTGAGTATAGACGTCCTTGGAGATGTGGGCGGAATCACCGGCAAGACAAGAAGTGAGAGTAAGAGAGGCGTTTCTCTCAAGTGCTCATCTACAAATACAACAACACGCCAGACCCCAATTCCGGACTCTACATCTCGCGGTCCTTGTGAAGATGACGTCGAAAATGCATCCTCTTTCATACGCCCAAGGCACGAACCATCGCATGCTGCCGGCACTCACTTGCACGCACCAAACGTCAGACGGCAGATGCATCATGCCTTTTTCTTCTTCCCCCTTTTTTTCTAAGATGGTGCCTATTCGTCTGCCGGAAAAGATGCTGGGACAGGGCTCATTGCCTTGATTTTCTTGGCACGCGGAATCGTGGCAACATGGCAGGTCTCGTCAGGATGGCGATCGACAAGCTACAGGGTCTTTGCCGTTGCCGTCAACAAGCTCGAACAAGCCCCTTTCAGATAAAAATACTGATGCCCGCTCAAGCGTTCATAGAGGCCCAAGCGAAGCTGCTGCTGCTGCTAGCCCTGACGAAGCTGCTGCTGTTAGCCCTGATGAAGCTGCTGCTGCTGCTAGCCCCGATGAAGCTGCTGCTGCTAGCCCTGATGAAGCTTCTGCTGCTGTGGCCCTGATGATGAAGCTGCTGCTGCTGTGGCCTTGATGATGAAGCTGCTGCTGCTGCTGGCCCTGACGACGAAGCTGCTGCTGCTGCTAGCCCTGACGACGAAGCTGCTGCTGTGGCCCTGATGAAGCTGCTGCTGCTGTGGCCCTGATGATGAAGCTGCTGCTGCTGCTAGCCCCGATGAAGCTGCTGCTGTTAGCCCTGATGAAGCTGCTGCTGCTAGCCCTGATGATGAAGCTGCTGCTGCTGTGGCCTTGATGATGAAGCTGCTGCTGCTGTGGCCTTGATGATGAAGCTGCTGCTGCTGCTGGCCCTGACGACGAAGCTGCTGCTGCTGCTAGCCCTGACGACGAAGCTGCTGCTATAGCCCTGACGGAGTTGCTGCTGCTGCTGTTAAGGTAGGTATGTAAGTAGGTATCTAGGTAGGTAGGTAGGTAGGTAGGTATTTAGGTAGGTACCTAGGTAGGTGTGCGTTACTGGGGTAGTTATGTGATAGCAGTCTAAGCAAGGGATATTATTTACTTTACTTTTTCCTCCTTTATTAGGGCATTCCTAGTAGGCATAATTAATACTATTCGAAAGCTTAAAAGACGCTGATTTTCACAGTATAAGTCTTATTCTAGTGCTTAGGACTATAAGCGCGTAATTTAGCAAATTATAATGTTAATGGAGTACGTAGATGCCAAGGAATTAAATAACGCCATAACCGCAACATCGCAATACCAACTTTAGCCTCATAACAACACCATAAAAGCAGGTTCTTAATACTTTCAAAAGCGGTGAGAATGGCAAAAAGGACCAATTGCCACTCAAGATTTATTTTAACTTCCCTAGGCTCGGGGGAAAAGCTGAATTAATAACCAAGCTCAGCTGGAAGCAGCGCATCTCTCCGGTTACACCTGCGCTCCGCTGCTTCGCAGCTTCGCTTGGGATGAAAGTTCTCACAAGTGCCGAATTATCACCACCAGCCTCAGGTAGCTGGGTAGGTAGGTCGGTAGGTATGCCGCCATACACGAACATTGCTGTCGATGTATCTTACATGCTGCATGCGTGACGGCATCCAGGGCGTGCAAGGTCCAAGTCAACGTTTCATCCCCATCAGCCTTTTACGATGACAACTACAAGGACAGACTCCATCACATCGGACATATACCAGACAATCGACGGCAAGAGAGCCATCGTGAAGAAAAGCCTCAGTGACGTCAAGTTCCGTCGCTTTGGCGGACACTCAAACACGCCCTCCTCGCCGCATATGGACTGGCTCAACTACCCTTCCAAATCACCCCCCTTTCCGCCCAAACCCCCCATTCCCTTCAAGGCAAGAAAAGCAAACGCCCAAGCATAACCTCTAGAACCTTCTTCAAACTCGGCTCACACGGAAGTATCTCCCTAGGCTTGAAAAGCCATCATGACGCCCCGTCTCTCTCACTCTCACACACACAGACACACACAGACACACGTCCCCCCCCCCTCCCCCCCTCGCCTTCAACAAATCTCCGCCGTCGGCTCAACCACCCTCGCCGGCCCCCGCCCTCGCAGCCTCATCCTCTGGTCAAACTCATGCGCTATCCCAAGCAGCTTCGCCTCGGACCACCGCCTGCCCAAGAAGCTGATGCCCATCGGCACCCCCGGCCCCGTCTCCACCATGCCGCCGCCGCCGCCGTCCTCGTGCACCGGCTCCGTCGCCGCGTGATAGCCCATCGGCACCGTCACCACCGGCGACCCCGAGACGGCGGCCCACATCGCCGCCATGCTCGTTGGCATCGCCACCGCGTGCAGCCGGTGCTTCTCCAGCACGCCCGGGAGGCCGCCCGGCCCGCCGAGTTCGCGCAGACGCTCGTATGCCGGGCCGAACCGCGGGTCGGTGTTGTCCCAGTTGTGATGCTCGAGAATGTCGTCCCAGAGGCCCGTGTCGCGCTGCGGATAGGCTTCCAGGGGGTGTTTCTGCGTCTGTTCGCGGATGTCGGCGAGGGTGTGGATGGCGCTCGGGTTGGACTCGAGCTTGGACAGGTACGAGGCAATGTTTCCGAGAAAGTCGGCTCTCATGACGGTCTTTTCGGCGTCGCGGACGTCTTTCGTCGTTGAGATGAAGTCGACGTCTTCGTCGACGCATGCGCCGACGATTTCCATAAAGAGGACGGCGTCCTTGAAGACCTCGACTTCCGAGGCAAGATGCGGGTACTTTTCGAGCCCTTCGTTGATGGCTTTCCAGGGGACGCCGATCCAGGCTCCCAGCAGGCTGTCTCTGCACGCAGCCACGTAGTTTGGTAGCTTCGGCATCTCAGCCGTGTACTCGTCGTCCGGGTCCTCTCCCGCAATGGCCTGGAGCAGATACGCCGCATCCTTGACCGTCCTGGCGATTGGCCCGACCGAGTCCTGATGCTCCGAGACGGGCACCACGAGGCTCCGCGACGTCAGCCCAACCGTCGGCTTGACGCCCACGACGCCGCTCCTCTGCGCCGGACACACAATCGACCCGTCCGTCTCGGTCCCCAGCGCCGCCCACGCGAGCCCCAGATCGACCGCCACGGCGCTGCCGCTCGAGGATCCCGAGGGGTTCTGGTTGGCAATGTATGCGGCGAGCGTCTGGCCGCCGTGGGAGGACCAGCCGTTGATGCTGTAGTCGCGCGCGCGGTAGTTTGCCCACTGGGACATGTTGGTTTTTCCCAGGATGATGGCGCCTGCGCGGCGGAGCTTGCGGATGACGAAGGCGTCCTGGGGGACGGTGGCGTGGAGGAGGAGATGGGAGCCGGCTGGTGTGGTGTGTGAGATATATGTGTGTATATGGGAAGATTGGGGGGGGAATTGGATGGGGAGGAGGAGGAGGAGGAGGAGGGCGTTACCTGATGTGTTGAGCTTGTCCTTTGTGGCAATGTTGTTCTTGACGAGGATGGGGATTCCGTGGAGGGGCCTGGAGGGGTGAGCTTTGATTTCACATGAAATCGTGTGTCTTAAGTGTAGGCAGTCTGGTAGTTACCCTCGGACGGAGCCAGAGGCCCGTTCCTCGTCGAGGCTGCGGGCAATGTCGAGCGCATCGGGGTTGGTCTCGACGACGGCGTGGACCAAGTCGTTGACTTGCTCTATGCGTTTGAGATATGCCTGTGATAACGGTGAGCCATTGTGAATGAAGGGGCTGAGTGCATGTATACCCTGGTAAGCTGGACACTGGTAAAGTGACCACTCCTCAGCCCCTCGTTGAGCTGGTCGAGCGTGGCATCGAGAAGGCCGGGCAGCTTGCTGTGACACAGTCAGGTCAGACGCTTGTTTTCACCTGTAGTCCTGGGACGGCGTACGCTGGGTCAAGTCCTGGCTGTAGCTCTCCCATCTTTGCACACGTTTAGCCAGATTGTTCTTGCAAGGTTCAGATGATGGAGGTTTGAGGTGAGGTGAGTTGTGTGAGTCTGATGCTGCGAGGAGTGACCGTTGCCTGGAGTGAGTTGAAAGCGGGGCATACATGTTGGAGGACAAAAGTCCCTGGTATTCCGTGCTGTTCATGTACGCCAGCCGCTGACACTATGTACCTTATATATTAGAGGCTGAAAGACTGCATTAGTAGCTGAACGTTGAGATAGCGGTTGAGAGTCATAGTTGATAAGAAATCCCCAGAGTCTAATGCATGATAACTAATATCCACAGCAACCAAAGCCTTTGACCTCGCAGTTCCATCTTCCAACCTCATCTAACCCTCACATCAACCCCCCCCCCCCCCTTTCAATCTCCCTCACCCACTCAAACACCTTTTTCGCAACCACGAAGCTCGTATCTAGTCTCCAAGTCAGCCCTCATCATCACTTCTACAATTCACCAAGCTCAAGCACAAATACTCACGCTCCTTGACGCAAAACGCATGCGGAAGATCTCCCTCATCCACAACAATCCTCGTATGCCCCTCCTTGACATTCTCCCTCCTCCGCTCAATGAACGCATCCCGCAGATGGTTCGCAACCCAATGATCGTGCTTCCCATAGAATATGAAAAACTTGGGAATCTGCCTCCCCTTTCCTCCTACACCTACACCACCACCACCATCATCATCATCATTCTCCTCCGTGGTCTCGTCTCCATGGTAGTATTCATACCCATCAGCATCATCACCCTCCTCATCCTCCGCCGTAGCCGTCCACAGCTCCTCCTCCCACTTCTCCTCACAAATCGTCCGCAGCTCAGACAAGCCCAAATGAATCGCCTGCCAGACCCCATCCTGGCTCTTCAACCAATCCGCCGTGATCCTCGCCGTCTGCTCCGTGAAACCCATGAGATTCTTCACAACCCACAGCACAACCCCGTATGGAAGACACGCTAGCAGGATCTTTGCAAACAGATGCGCATTGTCTTCGAAACGGGGAATGCTGCGAAGCAGAGAGACCCGGCGACCGCTCGGCGAGGCAGCAATGTGCGTGAGGGTAGGGAAGAGCAGGAAGCCGTGCCGGAGACGGAGATGGGGCGCGTGTGTAGGGTTCTTGGTGTGCCGGTGGAAGACTTCGAGGGCAATGTATGCGCCGACGGAGTGGCCCATGAGAATGACAAGGTCGTATGGCCTCCCTTGTTGGCCTTGGTCTTCTTGGACGGGTTCTTGAGATTGTTGGTGAGAAGAAGAAGGAGAAGAAGGGATTCTCCGGGCCGCAACGTCCCTGTAGATGCCCTCAATCTGGCCATCCAGATCCCACGGCTCGTTGCTCCCACGCACAAACGGCTCATGGTCATCATCGCTGAAGCCCAGCAGATTCCGTCCGTAGATGTCGTACACCGTCCTGTTCCTGCGTCTGTCCTCCTCCGACTCATCCTGCAACTCGTCCAGCATTCCGCGCAGACATTCCAAGAAGACGGTGTAGTAGTGCACGAGCCCGGGGTTGCCGCAGACAAAGTAGATGAGCCCGTGGCGGCGCTGGTTCGTACGGGTGTCCTTTGGGGGCCATTTAGCCGGGAGGGATATCACTGGTGGCATGGCTGTGGTCGGCTTATAAAGCGATTGAAGAGGTGTAGCTGATTGGGGAGGTTTGTTATGTTTTAAGTATTGCTGGGGGGGCACTGGCCTTATGCTAGGGGGGCACTGACTAACCTAAATTAGCCAAGCTGTTTACCGCGCTACGCTGCCCTGCTAAATTACAGTATAATTTATAGAACTATAAACTGTATATAAGTTAAATCGCTTATTAATTAATTCCTTTAAAAAGCTTAAAAAATGCATTTCTTATTAAATTAAATATAATATATATATTACAGCCCTTTAATTAGTTTATAGCCTCTAGCTATATTATTAAAATAACCTTTTTAATAATAAAAGATAATAATATTACTAATTATAAACTATTATAGCTGCAGTCTTATCCTCTTTCTGCCTCTTTTACCTTTATATTTATATATATTCAAAGGTGCTTTATAAATAATTAACTAGCTTATATTACCTCTGCCTTAATCTTAGCTATTATATATATTTAATAAATACTTAAGCCTAGGCGCTAGGTGCCTTAAATTAAGGTTAGCAGTAATAGCCTTAAAGCTAGTATTAAAGCTAGCTATAATACCTAATACTATATAAAAGCTAGCTATATTAAGGTTATAGTTATTAAAGCTGCTAACTTTATTAACTTTAGTATAATTAGCTATAAATATATATTTATAAGTTACTTTTAATTTTATAATAAGTAAGGCTAGCCTTAAAGGTTTATAATAATATTAAGGTCTTAAATTTATAGCAGTAGCTTTATAAGGTTTTAAATAATACTATATTAATAGCTTTTATATATAAGTTAAGTAAGAAACTTACTAATAGCTTATTAAGCTACTACCTTAAATAGACTAGGTCTTTAATAAGAACTCTTTTACTATTACTATTACTATTACTATTAATAATTTTCTTTTATAAATAGTAGGTATAAGGTAAGGTAAATTACTATATAAAGGTGTAAGTTATTTTATAAAGTATTAAATTATTATTTTCTAGTATTAGTATAGCTTTAGTATAATAATACTTATTAATAATATAATTAATAGCTTTATAGCTAATTTTTATAAGAAGTCTGCTTAGCTAAGTGCAGTTAAAGAAGTAATAGTAAAGCTTTATCTTTTTTTAGGCTGCTTTTTATATATAGTTATATTCCTTTTTTATTAATATTTAAGTAATAGCTTTATAAATATAAAAAAAGTTATTACTATTAGTTAGTAAAAAGGACTTAATATTCTTATATATAATCTTTATAAAGCTATTTATTTATTAACTAAAGTTATAATATTAATTAATTTAGCACTTTAAGAATTAATTAGCATAAAGGAAATACTTAAAAATAATATAGTTAATAATCTTTTATTATTAGCTAAAGTAAGTAAAAAGCCTAGCTTAAGCTATTTTATAGTCTTTCTTTATTTTAATATATAAGACTATATATTAAGCATATTTAAAGCTATTCTTATTATTTTTATAAAAAGGTTTAATATTAGCTATAGCTTTTACTACTGCCTCTGCTTATATTATATTTACAGCTTATATAGCTATAATAAGGCTAAAGCTACTAAGCTTATTAATATTAAAGTTAGTAGCTAGGCTGCCTATAGCTATATTATTATTATTAGCCTTATCTTTTAGGTCTTTTTACTATAAGGTTATTTTTTTATTAATATTTATATTAATATAATATAAATATAACTACTGCTAGGCATTTAAAAAGATAATTTTTAAGGCATTTTTTAATGCTATCTTTTTATTTATAATTATAATCTAAGGCGCTAAAATCTTTAGCTTTTAATAAAAGTTATTAAAATAATAATAAAGCTACTTATAAGTTAGCTACTTTTTATTATTTATAAAGCTAAATATAAAGTTAATTATAAAGCTTTAGTTTATTATGCCTATTACTTAAAATAAATATATTTTAAATTTATTTATTTTATATATATTATTTATTTTAAAGACTTTTAAAAACTATTTTTATATTATTTAGTATTAAAAATATATTTAAAATATAGCTTTAATTTTATTAAGCTTATTATTATAATAGTAAATAATATAGTAAAGTCCTTCTCTTTTTAAAACCTTAATAAACTATAAAGTAAGTATAAGGCCCTTAAGCTTAAATTAATAAATAAACTAATAATTATTATAAATATCTTTTAATTAAAAAAATAAGCCTAGCTTATTAACTAAGGCTTATATAATATCTTTTATCTTTTAAGTATTAAAAGCTTTATAAAAAAATAGTAACTTTTTAATATTTTATTATATTTTTATATAGTAATAATAAATAATATAAGCTAATAGGTTATTTATACTATTATAATTATATTAACCTTTAAAAACCTTAAAACTTTACTTTTAGTTAGACTTTTATATAGTAAAGGCTATAAGCTTAAATAAACACTTAAGCTTTATAATTATAGTTTATTTAAGGCTAGTGCTATAAGCTAGCTAGGAGGCTTTATAATTATAAAAGAGAGTATAAGTAGTTAAGATTTTATTACTATTAACTTTTATATAATTCCTAGCTTACTTTTTTATAAAGGCAGTGCTATTATTATAATAAAAGGTTTATAAAAAGGTAAAAAGCTTATTAAATAAGTTAAATTCTTATAATAGCAGTAGTAAAGGAATTTATTAAAAAGCTTTTTAAAAAGCTTCTTAGTATTATAGTAATACTTATAATAATAGCAGTAGTAGCAGCAGTAATAATAATAAAAATAATAGCAGTAATTAAAATAGGCTTTATTAAGTAGCTTAGCTGCTAGTATTATTATCTAAGGCCTTTATTATAATAAAGGGCTTAAGGGTAATAATAATAATAATAATTATATTTTTAATATTTTAGCGTTTTTTAGTATTATATTATATTTAAAAGTGCTACAGCCTTATATTATAATTATATAGCGCAGCATAGCGCAGAAGGAAGCTTAGCTAATTTAGGTTAGTCAGTGCCCCCCTAGCATAAGACCAGTGCCCCCCCAGCAATACTCTATGTTTTTAGGGGTTCTGGTGGTCAATTGGTGATGGAGGCTGGTGGTGATGAGGAGCAGATTTGCTGGTGGTGACGACAGCTACCTACCTAGTAGTAGTGGTGGGTCATGCCGACGTCTAGCATGTGAGAAAGAGTCCACCTGCGATTGTGTTTAATTGGCGTCTCTTGTACATGTCTAAACTACGTGAGATGACCAAGATGTAACCAATCGACATATCCTTTTACTGCGTTTGGTACAATAGTCTCTATCATGTCTGGCATGAGCATAGCGGCATGTGGTGTCTTCTCAGCTCAAGCTGTAGCATGCAAAGCCCTCAAGCGATCACTTAGAGTCCACCCCCCGGTCACGTCAAGCTGGGTCTTCAATGGTTCGTAACAAGCCCAGCAACGACATTTCAGATCACTTCAAAATCAAGCTACCAAAGACACAGGTCTTCAACAAGACTACAGCAGGCTCCTATTACTTGGTATATGCTCTCCAGATAGCCAACCAGGCCGCGACGAATCACAATGATACCCAAATTGGAATGTCCACATCAAACGTCATAAACTCAGTCAACTCCAAGCGCTCCCTCATGATATCGTAAACTTCTTCCTGACTTCGACAAGGGCAACCGCCGTCTTGCTGATGACGGCCCACTTTGGCATGTACTGGTACAGCTCGCGCAGCACCGGTATCGTCTTGTCGTCGTTCATGTCGCTGTACGCGCACTTGACCGTCACCTCCAGCTCGTCCTCGTCCAGCACGTCGTCCTCCCCCGTCAGCTGCAGGTCAACGTCCCATGGCCCTTCGAATTCTCGTCTGAAGAGGGTGATCCCCCGCAGACCGCCACGCGGGATCGTCCCAAATCGCGTGTCCGGGGGGGCGCCGCCATTAATGGTAAACCCAAACACAGGCCGAGTAAGGTTCAGGATACACATCTTGGTGTCCAAGGCGTCGACCTTGAGATTCGCCGTCGTTCCGTCGGATGACCTCGAGCTCGACACGGTAATCAGGTCCTTGGGGTCTGTGCCGTTGGCGAGATACGGCGGCAGAGATGACGCATCGTATTCGCACGTAGTGAGGCCTAAACGCGTGGAAGCCCTGCATTCAACATCTTGGCCCGTGGCAGACGGGATAGAGTCAATGACTTTGTGGAGATATTCTGGGATACCAGTCAGAGTAGCCACATTTGTTCCCGCATCTACATCGATAACCTCCTGGAAGTACAGCTTGTAGCGGGCATTGTTTGAAAAGGGAAAAGCAGCTAGGTTCCAGATGAACGTGGCGACGAAGACGACGAACAGGAATTGCGGCACGTGGCGAGTGATGCGGTGCATGAAAGGGGTCAGAGGGAGCAGCAGGAGGATGGTCATGATCCCAACGCCCATGATGGGAGGCAAGAGACTGCCGCCGTCGGCGCCGTTCATGGCCATTGCGGAAGTCTGCACCAATGCCAGATTGCCCACGAGGATGATGTGGATGGGGGCAAGCAACAGGAACTGAACAATCCAGGTCCACGTCGGCAGCCGCCCAGACCACGCCTGCTCGTGCTCGTACGGCGGGAAGCTGATCAAGTCCGAGGGGGCAGGGTCGTCCAGATGAGCCGACCGTCGATACGTGCTGGCAAACGTCGGGTGGTCGCTCGATCCGTAGCTGTGCTCTCGAGCCCTCAGCGGCGTCGTCTCTGTAGCGTCCTCTTGGTCGTCTTCGTGGCCGGTAATTGTGTTGTCGGAGCTGGTGACCCGGATATGTGACGGTGCCGCGTCGTCTTGGAACTGATTGGCGAAATCTTCCTTTCCAGGCAGAGCAAACAGCTCGACCAGCGAGATGAAGAGCGACACAAAGACGGCTGTGTGGAAGAAGGCGGCAAAGTAGAGGCCGCCAATGTGCATGCGATCCTCAGCCACGGCAGCAATGACCTGCACAATCCACGAGAGAATAAACAGCCAGATGAGGGCAAATCCGCGGTGCAGGGCGGACGGTCTGACAAAGTTGGCACCTCTCATGATCATGAAGAAGGAGATGTAGAATAAAGACACGGTCATGGCCCAGCTAACCATTGTTAGTCCAGGATCTGAGAAGAAGGGTAGTCGGGGAGAAATAAACTCACACTGCATATCCGCTGCTGTAGATGATGAGTGGATTGACCTTGGCGACCAGCAAGACCGCTCCCAATGTCAGGCCCACGGCAAAGATGAGGGCTAGAGGATACCGGAAGAAGCCGCGCCAACCACCAAGAGCAATCGGGTCGTCATGGAGCTCAGAGTTCTCGAGCTCCACGTCCTTGGCGAAGAAGTAGTACTTGTCCTGACGTATCAGCAGATAGGTGACGACGATCAAGACCAGAGGCGTGACTAGGAGCAGAGTGAGGGACCACGCAAAGAGGCCTCGAAGCGGAAACGCCGACCAGCCGCTGCCATACCAGTCAAAGTAGACACCCTCGGTTGGCTTGCCGTTCTGCACCAAGTCCTTGTCGCCGTCGCGCCGATCGCCGCTGAAGACTGTGTCGGTGAGCTCTGAGAATCTCTCCGCAGTCGCCAGAGCGGCTGACAGCATGTGCCAGATGCTGCGGACCGAAGTGTGGCGCGCATCGTCGTCCTCGGTATGGTAGCGTGCTCGCGGCTGGTAAAAGGCAATGTCCACGCCGCGCTGTCCAAAGTCAGGGGCAAACACTTCAAAGTCGGTCCCGCTCTTGATGACTCCACGCTCAAACGCGTTGGCCGCGACGACGGATCCAAAGGGGTGAGGGCTCTTGGAGTAGGCCTTGGCAGCCTCGAGATCCGTGGTTCGGAAAAGCATGGCACGGCCGCCAGCGCCGGCTCCCTCCAGGTTGACAAAGGTGTGGCAGAACTTGAGCAGCGGGCTGTAACCGAACGCGCGGGCGCCCAGCAGGCCGTCTTCCTCGGCATTGTTAAAGAGCAGCACGATGCCGTGTTTCGGCTGCTGTCCCTCGGTGGTGAAGTAGCTCAAGAGCTGGAGCATGCTCACGCAGGCCATGCCATCGTCGGTGGCGCCGTATCCAGTCGAGACGCTGTGGATGTCAGCAAATCAACCGTTCATTTCCGCCATGAAGTGCATCAAGACTTACGAGTCAAAATGACAATTGACAAGGACACCTCCGGATCTGCTGTAGCTGGCTGCTCCGGCCTGCGAGGTCCACCAGTCGCCCTCGGGATCTTCCTGGCCGTGGATGTAGATGTAAAAGTTGTCTCCCTCAAAGTAGTAGCCCTGCCACGTCTTGGAGCCGCCCTTTGTGCTCTGGAGCAGCGAATCGACGGTCCAGGTCACGTTGGAGATGCGGTCATCGAAGATGGTGGCACCGGGCGCTCGCTTGGCTCTCAGCTCGTCATTGGCATTGGCATTGGCCCTGGTAACAGCAGATGTGTTGAGACTATGGCGGTCAGCTATCAATTGAACTGCTTTGTGATATCACTGAGGACAGACCTGGCATCCCAAATCACTCCTCCAGTCTTTTCGGTTCTGTAAGGAACGCCATTCCGGTCGAGGATTTCGTGAGAGCGCTTGATGAGGAACTCGCGGACTTCTGTGTTTGCTCGGCTGTTGTACGGGTGGTACTGTCTCGTCATGAGCTGTAAATCGAGCCACGCCTCGTCCAGATCCAGGCCCTGCTTGAGAGAGTGGCTCGATGGCGCAGACGGCACCGTTTCGTGGACGTAGATCAGCGGTATGACGAGGGCGAGGTAGACGGCCGTGGTCCAGAAGGTGACGGGCCCCGGCCGGAAGCTGAACGGATTAGGGAGCCTCATGGTGGCCTCGCGATCAAGCGGTGACGGCGGCAAAGGCTGGCGAGGGCTCAATCATGGGATGGAGCAGGGCGGCGGCGCAGATCGATTGGAGGTCGCGAAGCCAATGCGATCGAGCGGCGCAAGAGGCGGGAAGCAGGCAGAATGTCGCAGCAGTAGCCAAAGAACTACGGATAGGTAGGTAAGTTAGGATATATTGAACAATGTCGCGGTCAGCTTGCATGCGGCATCTCAGCCGGCGCCTCTGGTGAAGCTGAGCTGTGGAGATGGCGATAATGCAAGGAGGGAAGAGAGAAGGAAAAGAATAGAATAGAAAACAAAAATGGCTGGCGGGTTGAAGGAAGGATCAATCAAATGATGCGCCTCGTCTGGAAACGGGAGACGATAAGGCAAGGTACGGAGCTGTGGTGTCATCGATGGAGCTTGCTGGTCGAGGCGGGCGCGCTGATTGGCGGCCGGCGGCAGCTTGCCCGGGCTGGAGCTCTGCGGCCCCTACAAAAGTGCCCCGTGCCGCTGTAGCTTTAGCCCTACAGGGCATGAGGGGCCCTCGAGCTGGGCTTGGAGCAGGCAGACGAAGCGGATCGTTGAGGTGGTGAATGAAGCTGGAGATGATCCTGGTTAAGGCCCAAGACAAGGATTGATGATCAAGTAACACATCAAAGGCAGGCAGCCGTTGAGGATGGAGCACAGGTAAAGATGAGAAATCTGTCCCAGAGGATTCATGGACTGCGTGTGCACCATTGGATGGATTGGAGCATGAATGGGAGCCTCAAGTGCTGCTCCTCATGGCCTCTGTTAGCGCATACATACTCAGCCAGCACCACCACGGGCAGTTAATGCATCACCGCTCCTTCAATCACATGAAGCTTGCAACAAATGCAGCGACCTTGTCCCTTTCCACCTCGTCCATTTCTTCCACGATGCCGCAGTCACCAACAACCGAAAGAACGCCCAAAAGGCAGCGCAGAGCCGTGCTCGCTTCTGAGGAACTATGGCTCACCACCATTGATGGCCGGCGAATCGCCTTCGCAGAAGCCGTAGAGCAAGAGAAGTCCCTGGCTGAGGAAACAACGTCGGCCAACGACGCCCACCGCCGCATCAACGCCTGGAGGACAGAATGGCAAAGGGCACGCGAAGACGCTGCGCCTGGACCAGAGCACTCTCAACGTGTCGTCGGCCAAGACGAGTCCTCGTCTGCCCTCGGCAAGCGGAAGCGAGCAGGCTCTGATCCGCCCGCAACGCCCATCGACCAGGGTCCCCGCGAGGACAAACACGCCCAGTACCGAGACGAGCAATGCGAGACACTGCTCGCCACCCACGGCAGCAGCTTCATGACTTCATCGCCACTGGGCGTGGCGACCCAGAGCAGGAGGCTCTGCCAGATCCTGCTGGAGACGAAGCAGACTCTTCCTGAAAAGTCGCTCTTCCACGACGACTTCTTCAGGGAGACTTGCCAGAAGCTGCGCAACCGCAATCACGCCCGCATCATCCGCGACATATCGCAGCTCCTTGTCCCCTCGGCAGAGACGCTCGCAATATACGGAGCCAAGCACCTCGATATCCTGGCAGAGAGCGTCAACGAAGGCTGGAAGTGCGCGTGCGCCGTGCCCGGGGTTGCGACTCCGCAGCCAGATTACTCGGTTGGGTTCCGGCTGGATGCGTTTTCAGTCACGCAACGTGCGGTGCTGTCGTGGCTCATTACGGATTCCTCTCGCCTGTCCTTCTTCAAAGCCACGCCTCATGTGTACCTACCCTTTTTATCCTGCGAGATGGCTTCTCTCGACATCGCGGATCGTCAGAATGCCCACAGCATGACCCTGGCGGTGCAGGGCATGACGTTGCTCTTCTACATTGTAGGGCGCGAACAGGAACTTCACCGACAGATAGTTGCTTTTTCTGTCTCGCACGATGACAGGTCAGTCAGGATATATGGACATTACCCCGTCATAGACGGAAGGGACAAAAAGTACTACCGTCATCTCATCAAAGAGTTCTCTTTTACGGCAAACGACGGCAGGGAGAAATGGACTGCATACAAGTTTGTGAAGAACATCTATGACATCTGGATGCCTGAACACTTTGGGAGGATCTGCTCCGTCCTCGATCAGGTGCGTGTTATACGGGGCGAAGCTTAGGTCCTTGGACGGAGTTTTATATGGACGAGACACGATCATAGCCCAGCCGCATGAGCCCAGGTTCACGATACATGACATAGCATATCATCATTTTCTAAAGGCCTATCTTGACTTGTCGATATGATGATGCTCTTTCCAGCGGTTGTACTGCGGAGCAGGCGTATACTCCGATCTCACAGCCCTCAACCCAAAGACACGGCCTGCCAGAGCTGCAAGCGAAAGCAGCAAATGAGACACAAACCAATCCGCCGACAGCCCGCGCGAAGGCTTTCCCTTCCAGAACCTCGTCGTGCTCAAGATGACAGGGAAGTTGTCCAGCGAGTGAAACACGATGAAGAGGTTCAGCGTGATCCAGAAATCAATGATGAGATCCTTGATCTTGGAAGGGAAGAATGCGAACCCAGGCACATTCGTCCCGATAACCCTCCCAGCATCCAATATCACGCCATTCAAGTTCCAGAAGAAGAGCGCCTTTTCACCGTCTTCCGGATCCGTACGCTCAATCACGACGACTTCCTCGCCGTCCAAGTCTGCGCGCTGCCATTCGTGCCAGGCATATCGCTCGACGGTAATCTCGGGCTGGTTGGTACTGCTCGCCGTGATAGTTTGTTCGACGTCTCCGAGCCGGACTTTTATGCTGCCTTTGATGACTTTGAGGTACTCGGTGTGGGTTTCGTGCCAGTGCAGGCCGCTCGACCATGTTGATTTTGGGGGGAGAGTGATTGTGACTTGGTTTGGCTGGGTGAGGTTGTAGATGACGGCGTTGGGGAGGCGTCGCTCGATGATGCCCTTTTGGTCCATTTTCTGACGCCGTTGAGGTTTCCCTTGAGAGCTCAAGTAGTGACGACTCTCTCAGCCATATTAGGGAACGAGAAAAGAACAGGACTGGATGTTAGAATAGGTAAGTACCTTAGGTATTTAAATCGCTTCTGAAGTTGAGACAGTCCAAGACGTTTAACCGTGGCCTCGTACTTGAAATGGCATCAGCTGACAAATTCGCATGCCCCAACGTGGGACTGTTCTGTCAGCAGCTTGCAGTCATGCGACGAGTCTAAGATCCCGAGACACGTCGTCAGAGGGCATCACTTGCTAGCAGTCAACAGCTTGGCGCTAGCTGTTCGCAGTTACAATGTCGAAGAGTACCTTACAATGAGTTGGAGACGTCGATGGTTGCCATGGTTCAGGGTAAGTTGTGTGGTGTGGACTTGGAGCTACCTACATGTACATATGTTTCGCCAGTTCTGATTCTGCTTCGCGTGTAGTTCTCAAAGGAGGCATGCACTTTGATAACTCTGGCCATCCAGAGACGCTACTCTCACCGTTACTTTCTTGCTATTGAAATGAAACCGGGAGCTTTGATGAAGAGGTAGTCATTGAGGGCTTGTTGGGACTCTGCTCGTTCCCTACCTCAATGCACGTTGTCTTTCACGAGTTTGGCCCAGTCGTGTAAGTCACTGACCGTAAAGTCCTCCAGAGGCAAAGCCAAAGTCATTGCCAACCCTGGAGCCGAACAAATTGACAAGTACCTTACCTAGGCTGAAGAATACATGGTTGAAAGAGATTCACATGTCTTGTCACAATCAGTCCATGTTCTCGCGCGCTTGGCCATATACATCTGCATGATGGCATTATACATTGGATACACATTATATCTAGTTAATAGGCAACGCTCCATGATGTCCAAGTATTGGGAGCAGATTTACACATTATTGTCTTCGATATCAAAGGTAGCCTCTATCCGTCGTCCAAGTTTAGGTGGTGTAGCGACCAACGTCGCCACCAGGGCTCCAGCCGCCAGTGAAGCCATCCTGAGCATTGATATCGGTGCCGTTGCCCAGTCGGAGAGCAACCTTGGTGTCCTTGGAGCACATGCCGTACATCTGGAGGTTCGTAGGCGTCGTCTTGACAACGTGCATGTAGTCTATCCGAAGCTGTTAGCAAAAAAAAAAAAAAAAAAAAAAAAAAAAAGAAAAGGACTCCATGAATTCCGTCTGGAAGAGAATATCGACTTACCCTGGCACTGGTAACCACCAGAAGCGCAGCCCTGATATCCAGGGCCGCTGAAGAAAGCCCACGAGGCAGAGCCAAAGTAGTAAATGTTGGATCCGCCCTGCACGTAGTTGGCCAGACCCATGTGGCAACGAGCAGAGCTGTCGCACCACGAAAAGTCAGGATCTCCCCAGCCCTGGACGTCGACAGTCCACGGCGCAGGAGGCACCTGCTGCGTGTTGTCGCCCTGGTCGTAGTTGGTCTCGCTCTGCAGGAGGGAGACGACGACGTTGCTGGCAGACTTGAGGTTGAGCTGGTACAGCCACCAGTGCTCGCTGCCGAGGCCGTGCAGCCAGGTTCCCTTGGTGGACTCGACGAGGGCACCTCCCTTGGCGGCAATGTTGGAGCCGCCGCTGAAGCCCTCGGTGATGTGGTCGGCAACCCAGTTCCAGGTGTTCTCGACGTAGGCGGACGAGCTCTCGGTGAAGTGGAGGCCGAGGAAAGCAGCCTTGCATTCGCTGTTGGCCTTGGTGCAGGTGTTGGTCAGGCCGTCCGCGCCACGGGTTCCTCCGACAGTGACAAGGGAGTTGAAGAGCGCGACGTCACCGGGCTTGGAGCCGGCAGCGTTGAACTGGACGATGATGGCGCCGGGCAGGACGTCGGAGACGGTGAAGCGCATGTCCTGGATCTGAGCAACGCCGACGTCGCCGGCGTTGCCGACCTGGACGATGGGCTTCGGGTTGGAGGCGTCCTTGAAGAGGTTGCCGCCACCGGAGATGGTCGCCCACGCCTCGCCGACCAGCCTCGAGCCAACGGGGACGACAAGGGTCGAAAGCACGCGGTAGTCGCCAAAGGGGAAGTAGGCAATCTTGTTGTTGGCGGCAGCAAACTGCAGCACCTTGTTCAGGGCGGCCGAGTCGTCCGTCGAGCCGTCGCCCTTGACCGTCTGGCCGCCGTTCTGGCCGGGGTCCTTGACGTTGACAAAGTCCGTCACGGGGTTCTGGGCAAAGTTGGGCGCGGCAACGGCCGGGATGCGGCCGCCGGGGGCGACGGCGCTGGGCCGGGCCGTGCTTCCGGAGACGGCGCCGTAGATGGGGTTGCGGCCGACGGTGTTGCCGTAGCTGTAGTTGACGACGTGGGACGAGGCGCCGAGGGCCGTCGCGCCGCGCAGGACGACGACGTCGGAGCTGGTGTCCTTGGTCAGGTTGTCAATGACAATCGACGGGTAGACGGTGGTGCTGAAGGTGACGCCCGAGTTGATGGACGTGGCGTCGACGATGCCGATAAAGGGGCTGCCGCCCGTGTTGGAGACGCCGGTGCCGACGGTGTCAAAGGTCGGGTTCAGCAGCGTGATGGTGTTGCCGCCGCTGATGAGCATGCCCACCGTGTTGCGGTAGAAGTAGATGCTCTTGTACAGCGCCTGCTGGTGTCCGTTGTGCCAGATGCCCGTCTGGCCGTTTTCGATCCTCACGTCCGCCAGGCCGAGGGTCGATCCCCGGCCGAGCTGGATACCCGTGTGGCCCTTGCCACCGCTCGAGGGCGCAAGAACAATCTTGACGTTCTGCAGCTGAGCGGCCTGGGCAACACCCCAGTACAGGGCAGAGATGCTGGACGTGGCGCTGACGGCCGTGGTGTCGAGGACGACGTTCTTGAGGCCGACGGCAAACGAAAGCTCGCCGGACACGCCCGTGGACGGATCCTGGCCGTTGACGAGGTAGTTCCCGCTGAAGCCAGCCGCCGCCTTGATCACGGGGGGGTTGGTGGCGTCGCCCATGAGGATCGTGTCGGTGCGCATGTTGAGCGTCTGGGACAGCGTGTAAGTGCCCGGCGGGATGTACACCACTCGGGGCTGCGACGACAGCCACTCGTTCTGGCGGTTGCCGCTGCTGCCAGCCGAGTCAATGGCCTGCTGGAGCGAGCCTCCGTCGCCGGCGTTGACGGCCACGAAGACGCTGTACGAGCCCGGGCTCGGGGCGTGAGGCGCGTAGCCCTTGTATTGGCCGGTGTGGTCCATGGCGGCGTACCAGAAAGAGGTGCTGCTGCTTGCTTCGACGTGGGCTTCGACGCGGGTCTGGTTGCGGACGGCGGCGGGCGAGGCCGTGGCGAGCCCGAGGAGGGCGGCCACGACGGCCAGCGACTTCATCATGGTGGGAAAAGGAGTGGAAGACGAGCAAAACCGAGGGTTTCGTCGTCGATACAGAACGAGGTAGGAGAAAAGGGAACGAATATCGAGACGATGCCCGCGTTATTAAAGAAACGCGATCAAGCAAACACACCCTGGATACTCGCTACAATCACCCGAAGCAAGGGGGAGCATTATAAAGCGAGCATCCCCGAACCCACGATCAACATCTATATAAAGAAACATTGGTCCTCACTCGCCTGCCATCGTCTTACCGCTTCACACTGCCATGTCTGTTTTTTTCTTCCTCGCTCAGCCCAGTCGCCATCGTCCATGGCCCCCCATCGGGCCGATGGAGAAGATGCCCAGCAGCTAATGGCCGTAGCATTGATACTGCCCTAGAAGCCATCATATTTCCTCTCGGTTGACGTCCTGCCTATACAGGCTATTATTATGGAGGCCATTCTCCGCAGATCGTCGCAGGAACTTTGTTGCTTGTTTCCGCTGATCTCTGACAGCAAAAAGGTCAAACTTGCCCGTAACGGCAGAGCTCCGTGATGAACGGGGCGGCCTCTGGGTCTGGCATATGGACTGCCCTAGATATTTTTTTTTTTTTTTTTTTGCTTGCTGGTTCCTGAACTGAGCTTCCACAGTTTCGTCAAGCTCTTGTCCCCATTGAGTTGTATTGCCAGCATAGAATGCCTGGGAAATAAAGTCCAAACGAGCCCTACGATAGGCTTCCCCTGTCTTCGTCTTACTGCGTGGACACCGATCGGCACTCGGAAGGCCTACTTTGAGCTCTCTCAGACTCTATTGTTAGGGCAGGACTACATAAGCAGCTATTAGTCGCTGTGCTAATTTGTATGACACAGGGGCAAGGCCGGCGTTGTTCCTGGACGGCTTCGGCCGATAGCTGCCGTTTAGTCATGCTGCTTCTTCCAGCAGATGCTGCTAAAGGCCCCCTTGAAAGTTGTGAACCCTTGCTGTTTTGTTGTGGGCTTTTCCGTAAGTGCTGACACGGGGCTAAAGCTGAGGCTGAGCTTGTTGGCAAGCTCGAGAGAAAAAGGCCGTCCTCTGAGCTCTGGATGCTGATGACGGGTGGGGGGACCCAGTAACTAGAAGCAGACCTAGAACTTCAACGCGGGAGGAGCAAGAAGATGGGTGCCGTGTATGGATACCGGGCCCCTGGAACGAGGGATGGAAATGCCGGCCTGGAATCAATTTTTCCATAGTGCTGGTAGGGGTTAACACGTGCTGTTTGAGGTCGGGGCTGGTCGGGGTGAGTTGCGTTACCTGTCCCTGAGGTTTGTCGGATAAAGCCTGCGGGTTGACACAGACAGAATCGAACCACTAGGAGGACACTTGGGCATGTTTTCCGTTGATCATGTGGCCTGTAGCCGTGAGCCCCCGTCTCTCTTTTCCGTCAGGCATACCCTGTCCCTGGACCTGTGACAACCACAATGGGTGTCAAGAAAGACGATAGAGAGGAGTCGATGACAGTATGGGGGCGAGAAGGACCGGGTGAGGCGAAATGAACTGTTGTCTCTGCGGGGAACATGGGCCGCGGTAGGCGTGAGCTGCGTTGTTAAGGCTTGAGTCAGCTTGAATGCTCATGCGTTCCATCTGGACTGAACAATGACCAAGGCTCCTCCCAAGAGCATACAAGCAATAGCCATTGCGGGTTTCGTAGCAAGGGGATATGCCTCCCATAGTGCCTCGGGTAAGTGATGCAGTGAAGCATTATCTAGAAAGTATCCGAAGGCCGTATCTCACTGTCGGCATATGTAGAGTTGGGTAGTATTCCGTTCAGGTGCATGCATGTCCCGCGAACCAGGCCAGGCAGAGACTGTGAGATCTCAACTCCCGGTAAGATGACGCCCAAATTTGGTGCTTACTCACGGCGGCACTTCCTGTTCTTGTCAGTCCTTTCGTTACTGAGAGCCAGGAGTTGAGCCTTCTGCAGTGTGCCCTTTCGATGCTGGTAGTTAGAGTCTATTAATCAATTCGATGAAAGCGACAAGATGAATAGTGTCAACGGGGAGTGTGGAATATTTCCATATTTGTAAGGACAATACTTGTGTGAATGCAAAGGCAGGGCATGGCACTCATTACAGAGCATCGCTACCTTTGCCCTACTCTCTGTATTGCCAACGCGGACCTAGATTGTCGATGGCGATGAAGGGGAGTCGGATCGAAGACAATAGGGGGTGTCTCGTATTTGTAGTCTCTTTGAAGGGGAAACACAAACATACCTAGGGGCCTGCAGGCTATTGTTGACTGTGTCGTCTTTGTCGGCGACCGACAAGTCCGTATGGACAGACCAGTATACTGCCCATATGACATCTCGATTTGCCTTGTCCGTAGATGGAAGCTCCTCGTAACCTACCGACTCCCAGATAGACTAGGCATAGGATAAACTGTCAATTCTTTGAGTTCGTCTTTTTCCCGAGTGAGGCAAAACCAATTACTCTTGCTTTTAGCTATAGGCCGGGCAATTAGTCTGCTTATTGCTTGCCCTTCCAATACCAGACTGGCATCCCGCTGTACTTGGCCAAATGATGCCTTTGGGTGCTTAGCAGCTCTACTTGTACTTGAACGCCGCGGATCTGCATGCACATGCAGGGTAATATTCCAGAGCCTCGTGACTTAAGGTCGGAGATCTGTCCAGACCCCCATTCGCCCAAAGGTGTCCCGTTAAAGGCTTCTAAGTACTCACACTGTCATCTACATGTAAGCTCCGTGTATACGAAATGTATGCGTTCTATTCCTTCTGATACCCGCACCTCTTATCTTCTTAGAAGCAGGATGAAGATGTATTGATTACCTTGCCAATTGGAAGTAATAAGCAGGAGAATCACCTGGGACAGAATCTTTGGGAATTGGACGGATTGTTCGGACGAATCTCTGTATCCCGTTCGCTTGGGCTTCGCTTTACCGGATATGGCTTCTTTTGCCCGGCCTGAGGTTGCATCGCATATTCCGTGCACTTGAGCTCATAAGCTAGGACATTATAAAAGTCCGCAACGGCCGGCCATTGACTTGGGGTTCCCGGCCACCAAGCTGCAAGCAATCCCCGCGTACTGACGGAAACATCAAATCTGAGAGAATGTAAGAGATAGGTGACCTGGGGATGCCGTCGTGACTCTTGAAAGGACTCAACTACCGGTAGAGCAGGTCGCTGTGAGGAGCTGCCGAGGTTTGCAGGCGGGATTTATCAAGTCACTATGGTATTGCATCAACAGCACCATCCTCTTTACTTATCCTGGCTGTGTCACTGAAGCTGCATGCAGACAAATTAACATGGACGGTGGAAAAAAGAGCTCCAGATGTTGATTGGTATATACACACACACATGCACACGGACTCCCGCCACCGCGGGCCTATGATGCCCAAAAAGTAATACCGGACGTATAGTTAGCCTGATTACTTGCACATTCACACGAGGGCCTGGAGTTTGCTTTCTTCCGTGTCATAGACAAGACTGTATCGTGCGGTTTGAATCTCGATTGTTTCGTCCTTGCGGGATATCCATAGATAGCAACAACCGTGGCAAGATGGCATCACATGTCCTCAACAAGCCACTGCTGCATCAGCTCGTCGACGTCCGCCGCCGTGCTGGGCCCCATGAAGTCAATGGTCGTCATGAACGTGGGCAAGTAATCAAGATACACCTCGGCTCCAGCAGAAGCCGACTGGCCACCAGATGCACTCTCCCCATCCATCGGCTGGTTCTCTTCGCCGTGACCGTCGTTGCCGTCCTGTCCCGTCTTCCGCGCAATGGAAATGATGCCAAAGTAAGGAATCGTAAAGTGAAACTTTTCGCCCTGCAGCGTCTTGGGGTCCTTCTCAATAGCCTGAAGCAGCGTCAACACGTCCCGCGCCTGCAGAGCGACTCTGTCCTCAAACCGCTCGACCGCGGCATCAAGGGCGGCTATGACATCCGCTATGAGCTCCCAGTCGCTCTCCCTTCGACCCGAGAGCACCTCGAGCTCGGCAGCAGGGGTCCGGAGGAACATGTTGAAGATGAGAATCACGGCCGCGGTGAAGGCTTGGAAGTTGGTCATGCAGCAGGAGAACATGCCAAAGGTTGTGCGTAGCGGGAGGTAGACCTTGATGAGCTGTCGAGCGGCCTTGAGACAGGCGATCCGGCTGTATTCGCTCCGTGTGTCCTCGTCTGCGTCGAGCATGAATGGTAGATGGTTGGACATTTCGAGCTGGTGGTGCCATAGCTGGATGTTGTAGCGGCCGTAGAGCATGTCCATTGCCTCCTCTTGCGTGCCAGAGAGCCTGTCGAATGGGTGCCACCACGACGAGGGCATTGACGTGGAAAGATTCACAAGCGCATGATCGACGGTTTGGGTAATGGCAGTCCCTGCCGTCGAAGCGCGCTGTTCCCTTTCGATCAACAGTGCGGCGATGCGGTCGAGATGTGCAAGATAGATGGCATCTTGTTTCTTTTCGTCCAGGTGTTGCATGAGCTTGAGATTGTCTGGTGCAAAAGGCTCGTATGCATTTCCTACTCCGCAAGGGAACCCTAGAATCTGGGAGAGATGGCGGTCGTGATGGTTGATGTGCGGCCAAAGGTCGGCCAATTTGGACTCTGCGTCGCTTCGGTCTTCATCAAGGTCGTCGTTGTCGTGTATCCTGTGCAAGTCCATCAACTGCGCGATTGCCATTGCTCTGCGGTTGTTGAGCCACGCTCGTCGTGGTCTGCCCGAGTTGACAAAGTAGATGTTGAGTAGCAATAGGCACTCGAGGCCTTCCTGCGTGGCGACGAGTTCGTCGTCAGAGGTGACCAGGGAGATGATCAACGAAGTAAGAGACTGCATGTATTCGGTTCGAGGAGATGGTAACTCAAATTGCGAGGCGTCGATGTTTTGGGGAAGCTGCTGCAAGCATATCACGATGCACATCAGAGCTCTCGCAATGAACGTAGGGTGGCTTGGAGTTGATGATTCGAGCGGCATCATCTTTAGCAGCGAGAACTTGTTCAGGTGTTTGAGTGATGGAAGGGGGCGAAGTAGTTGGCAGATCCAAGGCGAGCTTTGGCTATCGAGAAGCTCTATTGTGCAACGAGGCGGCATCATCTCTAGCAGAAGGTGGGAGACTCTCGTCAGTTTCGGCCACATGGTCGTATTGCTGTGGACAATGGATTGGTCGATATCTGTTGCTGTGGTGGCAGTAGGTGTTGCAGAGGCCTTCTGTCCGCTGATCTCGGACATGAACTAGATCATAACGGTCAGTATCTGATTTGTTCACATCGCGGGAGTTGTCAACTTTGTCCCTACAGCTGTATTTTTGAAGATGGAAACCACGGCAGAAGTCGAAGAAGGGTTCGAAACGGTAGAATTCGTGTTGACGACATCGATCCCGATGGCGGTCTCGGCGGTTTCTAGGCGTCCATGGGCTTCCTCCTCTATAGTATGAGGAGAACGCGTGTTTGCAGCCTCCAGCCTTTCAAGAACCCGTCCAAGCAAGTCCTCCATCCGCGTCATCCTCTCCTCCATGCTTTGGTTGCGCGAGGCATCGCTCGCCTCATCACGGAATCGCTGGCTGACACAGACTAGGTTGTGGGAGATGCACCACGCGCAAGTCGCCGGGTTGCCGGGTTTGAACGAGCACCTGATCTTGCGGCGTTTGCCTATAGAACACACGCTCACGATTAGGAGACCGAATCCCAAGGGCCAATAGAGAAGTAAAAGAAGAGAAGAGACGACGAAGAAGTAGACTGTGAAGTGCTGAGGAATGGGTTCTCGTTCTTAACATACATTCCCAACAGCTGCGTGTCCCCTTGCGGACCTTTCGTAGCTCAGGCGACGGCATGGCAGAGTCTGCATTCTGATGCACGGACGATCGACTCATGATTCAACAGTCGCCTGAACACCCAAGGAGCCAGTTGAAGAGGGTACTCCTATGGATCGAGGATGAATCGCCCAACAACCCGTATAAGAACGGGGATTCTCCTGACTTCCGACTTCCCTTTCAACAAACTCCGCAACTACTCATGACGTTAGACAAGTATGTAAGGTTATCTTTCAAGATTCGAATCAGGCTCAAGGACCCCTGGTTTCTATTCCAGTAAGACACTAGAGCAGACACGAGGAGCCACACTTCGGCCACGACTTGGACGTGAAGCTAGAGGGATGTTTCCATGCCTACCTTACCTTGGGCAATTCCCCGCCGACTTGCATGAGGAATGTCTGCATTCGTCCACGAGAGGCTTGAATCACGTCGTGTTCTATTGGCTGTTCATTCACTGTAGGTGGTGATTAATCTACTTCATGGCTGTACAAGGAACGTGTGAATAATAGAAGGCCTCAATAGCTCCATTTATGAGCCGGAATCAGTACGAGGATTTGTAGACTTGATGGGCAACTGTGACGAGGAGCGAGATCTTCAGCACTCAGTGGGCAATATTGGGCAACACCCAAGGAAAAGAACTCGGGAGAAGGGCTTAAAGCGGATAGTGTCTGTTCTCCGCAGTGATCTTGCATAGAAAAGGAAAAGGAGGGGTGAGCGTAGCGAAAGGCAGGCGAACGGCCTTGGGCACCTCGGCTTATGATACCTCTTGTACTGTAGCAACAAACAGTAGTGGTACAAAGTCTACTTACGGGATTGCAGCTGAGTGTTTCAGCATTGATCAGCGTGAGGCTTGCCTTGTTGTACGAGAAGAGACTACAGCGTTGTCTGTGGTAAGGGTATGTGATAATACATAACGCCGTGTCGGGAACCTCGGCCGCTTTGCCGCTGGCGCGCATGGCTTGGAGGACCCCAATTCTGTAAGACGGCCAACCCCGAACACCGCGAACAACGCACACATACTTTACTACATGTATTACCCAATCTCTTTCTTTACCATGGTGACTTCTAGGGATGAGGATAGCCTTTGGAGTTGGGGACCTAGGTAATAGGATCTGGTTATCTACCAGACAGGAATCACAAAGTACCAGGTAGCCCGTGAGCAAAGGAACGGGTGCAGCACCTTGTCTTGTCTGTCATTCCCGGCGATGGTCCTGCTCCTGCTCCTACTGTACTCCGTCGATCTCCGCGTGGGGCTTTTCTCACCTGTCCCTGGAACACTCGAGGCTCGGAGTAATATTCCTGCCTGAACAATGACCTGTGGTAGTACTAGTATCGGGAATAGTTCATGGTTTACACCGATATCCATATGCCTGCATCATCATTCGTCCGCTCTCCTCGAAACAGGACCAGAGGCTTGTCCCGTCATCTGGGTCCTGCAGATTGAAAGCATCATGGCAGTGGCTATATAATCCCCGTCGGACACATGTCCAACTATTCCCCCGAGTCCATCCTAGCCTCGACCTGCCCAGAGGCTCTGAATTGCCTCACTAAGCTGACAGTACAGTCGAGCATAATATTGTCTGTGCCTGCGCATTCCTTCGATCCTCCAGATCGACGCCAGTCACGCTTCCATGAGCAGTCTGCTCCTAACGCCGAGCTGTGCGCGCTGAGCGCTTGCAGTGCCTTACTTGAAATGGACGTAGGGTCCTTAATGGCCGTCGCTGGGTAGACCGAGCGACTTTATTTGTCTGATCGCTTGGCATGGTAGAGCAAGATGTTGCCAGAAACGGGCGGGCCGTTAACTCTATGAAGCGGCGATATTGACCATATGAGGCGGATATTGATTGAGGCGTTGTCTTTCCTGGGCTGTTGCATGTCTTCCGTGGGGTGCGGAATCGTAAAGAAGGAAAACTGTGGCTTACATCTCTGAACATGCTTGCATTAGTTCCGCGTTGAGTCGCTTATATGATCCCTTCAACTCGCAATAGACGCTTAATGTGTATTAGGCGCGAAGATCTGGATATACCTTGGTGGGGGTAGAGATGGGTATGAGACGGTAGAGTCCCATTCCATTACTGATGGTTCTCTTTCGTCAAGGAGAACAAATTGTTTGTTTGTCTATCATTTAACGTCTGTGACCGAGGTCTCAAGGCAAGAAGATGACAAAGAGAGAAAGGACAAAGATGCAGAGTAGTGAAAGTGACCAGTATCTCTGAATGATCAGTTCGAAGATGTTGGGTGATAACCTGGTGATTCCAGTTGAGATGGAAACGGCACAATCCCGACTTCTCTTCCTCTTGACCAGTCACTTCCGTTTTCCGCGGGGACGGAAAGGATCCTGTCCGCGTATTCGCTGGGTATTCGACATAATATCTCCAAGCCAGTAATACTCGTACATTGCCGAAGGGTGCTGACAGAAGAGGCAAGTATCCCGCAATCCATGTAAGATATTCGAAGTTGCCCAAGGTAGCAGCAGCCACAAAAGGCGCAGTTTCTCAAGCGAATAAGAGCGAATATAACAAGTCTCTTCAGTTGCAGCGACCAGTGAGATATCGCTCCTCAGGAAAGAATTCCCGACCAACGGGTTTCCACCTTGTATTTCGTATGCAGTCACTGCATTTCCTCTCGCGAAACGGCGTGGTGCCCTTGCTTGTGGAATTCGGCCGAGCTCGGCCGAATTGGCATTGAGTTGCTAAGAAACTCACACAAAAGTGCAAATAACTACTGCTGGTCATCAAGAACTCGAGTTGTTGATAGTCCTTTTGCTTTCATTGTCGCTTCAATTTCCATCTCGTGGTTATCTGTGTTCGGCCGAGAGTCGGTTGAAGATGTGATGGACGGAAGGTGATTTTGTAGAACGAAGTGTGTATTAATGGCGTCTGTAGCTGTCAAGGAAACAATTGAGATAACCAAGCAACTGACATTCAGGCTCTTGAAGTTCCAAAGATCTTGTCAACTGTATCGCTTTGGAAGGCTCCTTGGCAAAAATGACCTCTACACTGTACTTGATTGGCTTCATCAAGCGCCGCCCTGACCTCACCCAAGAGCAATTCTACGCCTACTGGCGCAACGTCCATGCCCCCAAGATTGCATACTGGGCCAAGAAACATGGAATCACCGGCTACACTCAAGTAAGCATCCTCAGCATTCTCCTTCTCAACTTCAAGGGCTCACGTTGTGTGACTCAGGTCCACACCTCCAACGTCCTTGAGCAGTCCTTGACTGCAACGCCACTCCCCATTACTATCATGGACTACGATGGCGCTGTGATATGGCAGATTTCGAGCTTGGAGCACTATATGAGTGCCTTTGCTGATCCTTACTATGTCAATGTTATTGCGCCGGATGAGTACAACTTTCTTGATAAGAGCAGGGAAACGGCTATGGTCACTCTGGGCAATGTTCATCGCATCGTTGCTGGTGGAGAAGCCCTCATCGACATTAGTCAAGAGACGGAATCATTGAATGCAGAGTAGGGGATAGCAAACTGTGCCATACATACACATTTCGACAGTGAAGAGGCAGACAGTATACCTGAGTGAGCAAATATGCGAATAGCATTGTTTCCATCTACAGTCTATACCGAAAGCCCACCGTCTTCCAGTCCGTCACATCCTCATAGTCCTCCGGCCTCAGCCGAATCTCTGTAACCGCCTCTGCAACATCCTTGCCATCCAGGACATCAGACACCTTTCCATCAGCCACCGCACCAGCCGAGCCAGCATTACCCACGAACCCCTCTTCCCTGGTCCGCTTCGCATTGGACCACTGCAGGTAGCACCTCAATGTCACCGCCAGAACGATGACGATGGAGTAGCAGATCATGATCGTCTTAAAGGCAGTCTCGTATGTCGGTGCCTCAGTTGCACGAAAGAATTGCGGACCAGAGATGTTGCCCGCGCAATACGCCAAGAAGAGCATGGCCGTGACGGTCATCTTCTTGGTCACGCCGCGGTAGTTGGACTGCACGAGGGCCATGTTGAGAGGCATCGCGGCCGGAGCAGGAGAGAGGAGGAAGTAAGCAAACAGTTGCACGCCATGGGGCACGCTGTCACGGCGGTAGATGACGGCCGAGCCCACAACGCAGGGGATGAGGACGACGACGATGAGGAGGCAGTTGAGCGTGCGGTATCGTCCAGCGAGCCATCCGGCTCCGGCAATGATGCCAGCTGTGATGATCGAATAGGGGATGTTGATGAGGGTGGACTGCAGCGAGGTGAAGTCGAACGAGGAGATGATGATGTTGGAAAAGCTCTGCGTGCCGCTGTTGGGAATCTGGCTGACAAGCTCAATGAGGAAGATGAGCCACGTCTTGGGATCGATGAGACACTCAATGACTTGATCCCATATCCAGTGCGCGTTCTCGGTGCGCCCAGTTCCGGCAATGACGGTGCGGTCAGCGGCAATCTGTCGCTCCTCGGGCGTCAGGAACTTGGCCTTGGAGATGCTGTCGGGCAGCAGGAAGAACATGGGGATGCTCCAGAGGAACGTGGCAACGCCGAGGACAATGTACATCCACCGCCACGGATGCACGCTGTCCTCGATATGGCCGAGCCCAAAGGCAATCAGACTCGAGAGGATGCCGCCAATGGAGTTTCCCGCAAACCAGATGCCCACTCGGACCGGCATCTCGTCGCGCGTATACCAGGTCGACGTCAGGAACATAAAGGCCGGCGTGATGGTGGCCTCGGCCATGCCCAGCAGGAACCGGACGGCCATGAGGCCGCCAAAGTTGGTGCATGCCGCCGTCAGGGCCACGACAGCGCCCCAGATGAGGGTGTTGACGGAGAGGTACTTTGCCGTGGGGAGACGGGTGATGAGGATGGTAGTGGGATACTCCCAGATGAGGTAGCCAAAGTAGAAGATGCTGCTGACCCAGCTGTACTGCTGTCCGACGAGGTGCTGCAACACAATGTTAGATATGTCAACAGCCTTTCGTCTTAGTGGTGTTGGGGCTCTCTTACCGTGTCATCGCGCAGGCCAAAGACGGCGGCACTCGACAGGATGACCTTGTCCATGAAGTTCAACATGTACGTGACAAACAGCAGCGGGATGATCACCCGGTCAATCTTCCTCACCACGCGACGCGCAACAGCGGCATCCACGCCTGTCTCTACAGGAGACGCAGCTTCAGCAGGAGAAGTCATATCGCCGTGGGTGTCAGTAGAGCGGCCCAGCAGCGGCTCAGATTCGCGGGATGCGCAGGCATGTTGGCGGCTCATCGAGTGCAGGTCCCGGACGCGTATTTAACAACATGCACCCCGGAATGCAGAATGGCAGGGAGATGCAGCCACCGGCGTCAATCTCTCTGCAAGATCCGGTTTCCCCTCACGCTTATCTTGGTCTGTCTATCTTGGAGAGGTCGAGATAGTAGCAGCAGCGAGATATGCGAGTCCGGTATTAGAGGTCATGCACGAGGTTGTTTTAGTTGCCCGAGACCGGCCCTTGTATGTACTACGAGTAAAAGGGAGGGATTGAGGGGGAGACTAGGTCCGGCTAAAAGCCTGTAGTAGACGCAAAGCCCACTATCCTAGAGGAGGTGCTACCTTAAATAACCTATACACCCTAGTCTAATATAACCCATGCTTTACTTTTTTAAATTTTTTACTATATTAAAAAACCTTATATAACCTATACTTTTTATAATTTAATTAGCTAAAATTTTTAAAAAGTAAAGTATAAGTTATATTAGCTTTTATATTAAAGTTAAATACCTTTTTAATATATTAACTATTTATCCCTTTTTTTTTTAATATATAACCTTTAGTATTAATAACTTTTATAATATTATAATATTTTAATATATTTTTAATATATTTTTAACTTATTTTATATATATTATTATACTATATATATTAATTATATTAAAGTAATATAATACTTATATTTATTATAAAGCTAAATAACTAGCTAATAGTAATAAAGCTAGTAGTATATATTAAAAAAAACTAGTATTATTTAAATAAAAGGTAAAATTTATTAATATATTTATAATATATTTATAATATATTATAAAAAGCTAATATATTTATACTTTAAAAAACTAGTAAAATTATCCTCTTATTTAAAAAAGTGTTTTATTATATACTTATAAATAATAAAAACCTTTATTTTAATATAAGGTATTATTTATAATCTATATATATTAATAATATATTAATATTATATTATTAATATATTACTTAAAATTAACCTTTTTTATATACTTTAAACCTTAAGAATTATATTATTTATAGCTACTATAGTATTTTTAAAAAAGTATAAAAAAAGACTACTAGTAATTAAAAAGTATTAAATATTATAAGTATTACTAACCTTTTATTAATATATTTAGAATATATTATTAATATATTATAAAGTATTATTATAATATAATAAAAGCCTTTAATAATAATAAAGGTCTTATACTTTTACTTATAATATTTATAAAAGCACTACCTAGCTATAATATTTTATAATACTTAAGCTTTAATATTAATAGTTTAAACCTTTCTTTTTATAAAAGCAGTAGTAAAAGCTATATTTAAGATAAGGTATTTTTTATTAATATATTACTAATATATTATATTTTATTACTAATATATTTACTTTTTAAATAAACTATTATATTATAAAAAAGGATACTAGCCTTAATACTAAGGCTAAGTATAAATATTATTAAGGCTAGCTAAATAATAGTAAGTAAATAAGGCTAATAAATTAGTAATATATTATAAATTAAATATTAATATATTACTTTAGTATATTTACTTAAGTTTATAATATATACTTATACTATTTAAAAGTACTTTTAATAGCTAGCTTAAAATATCTTAATTAATATATTTAATAATAAAAAAAGTAAAAAAGTAAAAAAAAATAAAAAAAAAATTATAAAAAAGTAATTTATTATTAATAAATTATAAATATATTATAATTTAATATTAAAGTTATATTTTATAAAGCTAATATTAATATAGTAAATACTTTTTTAATACTTTTTAAATATATTATTATATTAAAAGTTTATATATTTATATAAAGACTATATATAATAGTAAAAGATATTTATAAAACTATAATATATAAGTAATATATTTAATATATATTATAAAATATTACCTTATATATATAATATTTATATTAAAAGTATAAATATATATATTAAAAATATATTATAAATATATTATAAAAAACTATAAGGTTTTTATAAATACTATATATTTAATATATTATTTATATATTATAATTACTTTATAAATTATTACTTTATTTTATTACTTTAAAAGCTATTTAATACTTTAGCTTTTAAACCTTTAGTATTAAAATATTTTATTAAAGTTATAAGTTAAGATTCTCTTTTTATAAAGCTAAATAATTATATAATTATTAGCTTTAATTATAATATATTTATAATAAGTATATAATATATTACCTTTTTTTTATATTTAATATACTTAATAAGATTAACTATAAGCAGGTAGGGATAGCTAATAATAATAAAAATAAAAACTTAAGCTTATTAATACTTATTAAAAATATAGTTATAATCTCTTTTTATTTTAATATAGTAAAATACTTTTATATATATTACTAGCTTATAATATATTAATAATATATTACTAACTTATTATAAATATATTATAAATATATATACTTTTATTAATTAATATTTTAAATTAGCTTATAAAAATATATAAAATGGACGAGCGACTT